GCCAGACTTACACTAAAACTCAAAATTCACTCGAATATAAGGGTTATTATATGTGGAATGCTCTCCGTGCTGATTTACGAAGCATGTCATACCAACTTTTCAAATCAATATGAAAAAAATTTCGTGTCGACTTACTTCGAATGTTTGTAACAACCCGACCGAGATCTTTATTGTGGCTGCTTTTATGACACCACCTGAAAAATATAATGTAAAAGGTTATTGAATCACTGCAATGACCTAGTAATTACTGTATACTTGCAATAGTTAATATATTATGTCTTCATTACTTTACTGCAACTATCTTTCTCAATTTATAACTCTTGTATCTTTATATGACAAACGTTCATTACTGTATTTACTTTAATGTAGTGAATGAGTTCATATTGATTTCTGTAATTCAGCGATTCCCAAACTTTAGTCGCCCCGTACCATTTCGAGATTTTGTGGAGTGCCGCGTACCGCCTCCATTAGTAACGCGCGCTAAAAGCGGCAATATTTCCCACCGTTGTGACGTCATAATAGAGTGTTTTATCCATGAAAAATTTAACAACAAATTCTATTAAACTAGGCCGCATCAGCCAAAGTTGATGAAGAAGAACAACAGAATGAAATAACAGAACAATCAATTTATTCAATGCGATGGCTGAATTTGTTTATTTTCTACGTGGCATACTGTTGTCCAGCGCAAATTATTCTTTTAATTACCTGCTGGGTTCAGCGAAAATGGGTGTATAGGGAGCTTGACACTATCTGCGATTACATTGAATTCACACACTAGTAATACATTAAATAGCATTATAATTCATAGTTAAATCCACATTAGCTACAGGTGCTATTTTAGCATTTCAAGGGAAAACCGGGCAGAAATGAGGAAGAAGAATTGAGCTTTTGCCCTTATCCTCAGACCTACATATTTACAAACTTTTAAAAGGCATAAACTACACATTAACGATCACGAAATTGAGTTTTATTAAAAAGCAGAATTTTTTTTCATGTAAGTGCGCTGTCATTTTTTTCCCCTGACAATTTGGCGTCGCACGAACGAACATAAAGCTTGGGAACCGCAGTGTTAAATGATGCGTGGCATCTTATGCAATATAGAATTACTAATCAGCAAAATTTGATAGGATTTAGCCTACATATTTATCCCGGGGAGAGGAAAGCCGGCTTATCCATATGGCGAACCACGGCCTCTCGTCCGGTTACCATTCCAAGTCGGTATGGGATTAGTTATATTGTTTGTTTTCGAAAGCATGAACTTGATGGTGGAGGAAGCCATAACCGATCAGCGGTTACGTGAACCACCCAACGACGGCGAGGAGTCCAGCAATCCTCTCGCACATAACCATGCCTGCATGGGATTCGAACCTGCGAACCCACGCAGAGTAATTAGAGGTGCGGTAGCGAGCCCGTTGAGCCCTAACGCTTAGCCCGTTGAGCCACACCGCCGCGCCGTGTGAATAATTCGATCACAATTAATATATAAGAAATAGGACCACACAAGCGAAAGACAGCTGGGTTCGAAGGGGCCACATGTTCCGTAGTTGAGAGATCCCAAGCAAGTTGTTTTCCGAAGATTCAGCAAGGGGCAAACGTTCGATTTTATACCAACACATGGAATTTGTGCCATCATTTATGACTAACCTAATTAAATATCATGAAAAATTTAGGCTCAATAACTGATCCATCGGTTACTCGAAATTTATAGAAAAAGTTTTGCAGCACTGATAGTCGACAACGGCATCGATTTTGCGACCGAAAAGGAGAAATTTTATCTAATTTGAGCACATATGCTCTACGATTGAATTTTGTGTAAAAGTCGCACAAACTCTACGAGCTGTCCTAACAGATTCGAAGCCACTGAATTATTTTTTTCGGAGCGATACAGCCCACAGGACGTGGTAATTTGTTTCGGTTTCGAAACAAGTCGAAAAGTCGAACAATCCCTATAAAAACCGTATTGTTGATCAGACGCTCAAGCGAGGGCCCAAAATTTCCTAATTTTGCCAGAGATAAGAATGGGTTGAAAACCCTCCGATGTGAGCGAATCGGATATTGTGAGTTTGTTCGTCATTTTCAACATTACTATCTTTTGTAACTTTTACCTTTTTCGCCTATCAGCTTTACCTCCCGCGTGTATTCCGTGAAGAAATACGCACTGTAACTTACAATGACTACTAGTATTTTATTTATTGTTTACACAAAAAAAAATTGAAATGAACAACAGATTGAAATCTTTACAGAAATAAATTTTGAAAAATCAATGATAAAACTCGAAATCAATCAACAAATAATTTTTTCAGTGGATGTGAAGGTGAAATAAATTGATATTCAAACTACCTAATTCTCTTTGCTTATACTTATAGATGGTTAAATATAGGAATTGACAGCAAATCGGCTATTAGATAATGAATAACATCAGAAAAAACAGTGGTAATGATTTAACTTGCATAAATGTACAAAAATATCACCAACATTTGAATAATCCATATTAAAATCAAGAATACATAGTTAATGTTATTGGAAATTCAGCATGGTTGCATTTGAAGTTCCGGTAATATTATAAAAAATAGAAATACAAATTTGAAGAAATAAACTTCGGTCACAATCATTTTGTATAATAGGAATGCAGATTACTTTATTGTCAATTCATAAAGATGTAAATGGTGATAGTCTATTTATTGACATCAGTTCCAAATTATTTTTCATCCGTACAATATAATCAAAAAGTGATTTTCTTTCAGGCTCTATTTGTATTCACAAGACAAAACAAACATATTCATCTTTAGATAACAAGAAAGTTAAATTTTAATGAGGCGTTTTCATACCGAACAAGGCTCTGTATGAGCAGCCTGACAATTACTAAATGGTTACCTAAAGTATTAAATGAATATTATACTGTTATGTTATCATCTGATAATATATAAGGCAGAATCTAAGGCACAACTAAATAAGCATTAACACGATTTCTACTGCAGGTTCTACAATCAGGAAACACAAAATAAATCACAATACCACACTTCCATGGCTAGTACATGCCAAATTATATATTACTGTATAATCAAACTGTATATTGAAAGACTACATACCAACATCAATGTTCGTTCAATTACTCAACAAAAATTTCACACTCAATGAAAATAAATCAGAAATGTGTTTACAGCATAATTCATCTGGCAATTTCGAATACCAACTATCGTCTTCATTTCCATCAATAAACTGGATATTTGGAAACAAATCTTCAACCAAGCTGAAATAATATAATACCATTAGATGGATGTATGTTTTTTAAAGAATTACTAAATTGTCATGGGAGAAAGCTTCAAAATGGAGTCGATATGGACTATTCCTAGTCCATGACAGGAAAAGAAACTGATAGACTGCAAAGAAAAAAGCTATGTTTGCTATCCATATATTTTTGATTAACATTCATATGTGAAAAATTTTACAGAAAAGTCTCGCCCTAACTACTATAGAGATAAACACCATGATCAACGTAAAATTAAGACAGTTGCAATTAACTATAGATTTCAACATTTTGTATTGATTTGCAAAGTAATGTTGAAAACATATTTATTCACCTCCAGTCAGCATTACTTTCTGGAAAGTTGATCAACATTTCGTTGATTCTTTGTTGTAGCATGACAACATCCATTTGTTTAAAAGTATCTTCAACTTTTTCTCTGATATATTCGGGAATCTCTTCTTGATTGACTAGATATAGAAGATATATTATATATTAACTATTGACCAAGAATGTTATAAAAATCGAAATTGAGTGCTGCAAAAAATATTCAGTCATAAAGGGTTCATCAAAAATTTATGAAACATTATAATTATGGATTTTCCAAACTAATGTTTTTAAAGAGCAAATTATCCATACACAAAACCAAATTAGAATATTATAAATTTACATGATATACCGTTTTTTCACATTCTTCCTCATTTAGCATATCTGATAGGTTGGCAATACCTAAGATCTATCACTGAATCATTGAATTCATATGAATACATACATGAGTAAACTGAAACACGTCTACTTTAAATATGAGTTAAACATAAAGATATCATCTATCCATACTTCTTGCTGAGAACTTTGGAAACACAAATACAGAGCATTAGGGGAATGAAAATAGTCATTCTTCTTACCAGTAAACAAAGTTTCTTTGTATGGATCAAGTCCTCGATGAGAGAACATTACCGATTTGTGCCATGTTAACCTTTGATACAAAGAAAGAACATGGCAGGTATTGGTGGATCTCGGTATCATAGAAGTCTGAGCTGACATCATTTTCAGATCTTTCTCAAGAAAATCACAGAGCGGTCCTTTCAGATCTTATTTCACCTTTTAATTTGAGAAAAAAATATCATTTAAAATAGAAACCTATCATAGAAGCATTTTCAATAAAATGGTTGACAAATGAAGCAATTAGTAAAATCATAGAAGGTCTGTGACTGGAAGCAACAAAAACTGAGCTTTGGACATTGCCATTAAGCGCGGTTAGTGGTTTTACAAAGCTTTCCAATTTGTATAATGTTCTACATAGAGCAGCCAGTATTACATACAAAAGTAGCTATCAGGTTATAAATATATTTTAGATATAGAGGAAGATCTTTTAAATTCGGGCTATCCTACAGTGAGCATGGATTGATTTCTATATTATCCAGGTCCAATATCTTCAATTTGCAATACTATTGTTGTCACTACATCACCACATGACATAATATGCAAAATGTATATTGCATTACCATCAACGCTAAAATTGGATAATTCATGATTCACCAAGTTGCAGGCTGAAGAAAAAGCCTAGCAGAGAGCATAACGATCATTTTATCAAATAAGAACTTACCTTAGACAAAAAGGTGATAGCGTTTGTTAAAGTTCTAACCACTTCACATATCTCAGAAGAATGACATTTTGAAACTAATCTGTCAATATCTTGAGATAGCTTAGCTGTCAATGGTATCTGGAAATTGTTACGAAAATTATTTTAATGCTTAATATATATATATGTTAGGTCATATTTGTACCTTCTTCTTCAAGAACTTGCTACATGTTTCCAACTATGACAATATAAATTTTTTTTCATATTCACCAGGTTTAAATGTCCTCAAATAAAAAGCAAAAATATGATGTACAGCTAAGGCCTAATTTTTCGAGAGAAAACCTTGAATACTAGCAGTATACTTACAAATATATATTTTTATTGATAACCACATGCATTCCCCAATGTTTGTGTTAAAATCATTGGTTATGCATTGGTAACATACAGTTAAATACATTTTCTCCTATATGTGCAATCTCTATTTTTATTTTCGCATAGATTAATACAAACCTTCAATAGCCAATAAAAAAATCAACTAATGCCAATAAAGGAAGAGAGTAAGTGATTCCGCTATATCAGCTTTGTTTTAGGGTTTTTTACTCTACTAAGTGAATCAATTTGTGTGTATGAATTGAGACTCACCTGATTTGTAGTTGCTACAACTCTACCCCAATCAACACCAATTCCAACATCCTGAGGATAACTCATACAAGGTAATGTCTGTAATTAGTTTAAATGCTGCAATTATTTATTCAAACATCCAATACATACTATAATTGGGAATATGATTCTTTTTATTTTTGATCATTTATGGAGTTTCTACATCAGCAATTCTAGTTTTTGATATGGGAATAACTTTAATTCATTTTAATAAAAATTACACAAATCATCTACCTTCTTATCAATTAGCTTCTTGCTGCGAACAAATTCTTCTTGAACCTAAACAAGAGTATAAATAAATTTAATACATGCAATATACTTGTTTCTAAAAATATTGCATTTTCAATTAAAATTATATATTTAATATATAGTATTCATCATGATCAACCTTATTAGGCCTCATTGGGTTAATTGACTGTATAAAATATGCTGCAAATCAAACCTGTTTTTCTAAAGCATCAATATTGTAAGACATCAAATGTTGTTTTTCTTGTTCATTCGTCAAAATATCATATTTGGTATGCTCATTAATTAAAAGTAAGAGATCTTGTTTCTTGGTGCAAATAAAATCATTTTGAAACAAGTTGCAGAACATCAGCATATTCATTTCTGAAACAATTTATTAAAATAAAGTAAGAAGGCTGGGTTGACTGAGACAATTGTAATGAAAGAGTTCGTCTGAAGAAAATATCAAAGCCCAATAAAACAGAAGATTTGAAACTCTTAAGCGATTGCTTGTGCAAAGCTTAGTTCAGAGATTGTGCTAAAATACATCATACTATTTTTTGAAACTTTAATCAAACTGATGTAGCAATACACAAAAGTGAAATCAAAATTACGACCATCAGAAATCAATCAGCATGCCATTTAAGGTGTAATGCATTCTACCTCTCAGCTAATCGCATAGCTCTGTGACAGCTTGAAAGAAATGAATTCTGAATCTCAATTAAATATTCAGCAAGTAATTTTGCACATTGTCCACGACCACGGATACTAGGAAGAGCGACAGATAAAGAGCTCTGTTTTGTAATTGGTACAAAGTAGTTTTTCAACAAGCTTGGAGCAAAATCCTGTAATTGAGGGCAGATCTGGAATGGAACAAAAAAATTGGTAATTCAAAATTATATTGTAAACACCCTCTCTACGAGTTTGCAAGTTTCTTTAGTAAATTAGCAAGTTATAGATTAGATTTTTCCAACGTTTTACAACTACAAAAGTATTATTTTCCAATCCTTCAGTACAGCGGTTCTCATCTTTTTTTGCATGCGGAGCACTATGTGAATAAAAAAAAATTTGTGGCTCACTTGTAAAAAAATAAAGTTAGCTCACAACAAATTTATTCTGCAAATGTTAAGGTGATGGGTGTGCCTGTTTTGAAGGGACAAATAAAAACCAATAAAGGAGGTTCCTTCGTTGCCTTGTTTTTCTGCTTTTAATTTCAGTCAACGCAGAGAATCTGTGTACGGAGCCATGAAGATACAAATGTCAAATTATTCTGATGGATTCTGCACCGATGCAGAAATATGCTTATAGCCAGAGCATTATTGGTTAGAAGTCAATCAACTCACAGAATTCCATGCAATAATATATTTTTCAATTGAGGCTTCATCATCAAATCCATCTTGATGTACATGATCTTCAAAGGTTCTTTGGTCTGCTTCTTGCATATCGATATTGTATTTATACCTAATTCATATAAGAACATAATTGAGACATATATTTTACCTATTCTCACACATATTATAGCCTATTTAACAAACCTCTCAATCATAACATGTTGTAATTTCAGAATATCTTCCAAATGCATAAGTAGATAAATATCTGGTGTTTGAAGAATCAATTTCAAAACTTCACCTGAAAAACACAAGTTAACTATAACATTAGTGTATCTAGGAAATTTTTGAATTTTTTTTAAATAACTCATAAATAAGGTTTCTCCTAAGGTGTTTTTAGGGATGCAAAATCATGAATTATTTTCATCCGACTACAGGTCATTTGGAAATTTGAGATCCAGTCCACATAAATTGAATTATGACCATGAAAAAGATTACTAGTTTATATTAGACTCATTCAGCAAGTGAAAAGAGATATTATAATAGGCACACACTTGGAAATAAGTAAAGAATATACCCTTACCCTTAGTGGTATACTTAAAATATTTTAGTTAAACTTGAAGCAAAAAATAAACCCTAAAACAAGTTTTATAACGTCACTACATTTACATACCATGACCCTTTTCAGTCTTGTCAGACAAAACTTGTAATAGGTGTTCAGGGGTTGGTTGACTAAAATAATTCCAGAAGAAACAATGTTTCCAATCAAAGCGTTTTTCAATTTCATCATCAGAGTTAACATCATTCAAGAGTCTAAAAATAATATATATATATCTAGTTTTATTATTTCAATATGTATAAATAACATAAAACAAGAAGATTTATGAATAATGGACAAATAATTTGAATGTCTTTCTGCTGCATCAGAGAGGAAATTCTCTCAAATCAAAAGAAGGTATTACCTGGTTATATAATAGCATATGATATGTAACTGAAAACAATGCTATGATACTACAAAAATCAACCTGTTCAGTGGTTCTCTTTCATCATCTTCAGCTTGTTTCATTAATTGTTTTGCATCTTGTATTTGTGTATCAATATCTTGAAACACAGGCAACAGATATTCATTTTGAAATACTTTTTCCCATTCACGACGACTTTCAATTGTTGACCAGTTTTGAGGGTACGCAACTGCACCCTAATTAACGAGTTAATATTTTGCATTGCCAAGTTTTGTCACATAAAATAAAAATATGAAAACGTCAACTATGCCCGATCCTATAACAATCATTTCAGGCTTTGAGAAATAGTCGCTTAGGAAAATGGGGAAACTTGATCAGATTAGCGTGCATAATAGTAGGTTGGAGATTAATAAACTTATCTCACCAGAAGCTATAATACAATAACAGTCTACAGATAGTAGAATATGCCCACAGTGAAGATTTTTATCTACTATTGACTTGATATTGCTTGTATATTGCTTATATATATAAAAGTTATGTAGTAATGCATTTCAACTTTGTATAAAAGCTACAAACTATACCTTATTGATGATTCTTAGTAAAATCCTCATTAGAATTAGCACACAATCATCAACATTTCTTGACAAAGCTTTGGATAAATCTTGTAAGTTTTTATGAAGCTTTTCAATGATGAATTTTTTAGCTTCTGTCTTATTCTTGACACTGATCATTCTAAACAAAAAGAAAAATATGTAAATAACATATAAAAGTATATACCAAAATATTCAATGCTTGGCATTTTGAAATTTTTAAACTGAAATACTATCATAAAATTATTAATTTCCAAATAATTTCATTTGGAAAGCACTGACCTGAAAATGGGTTGACAATTTTCAGTTAATCCAGCCAACATGCATGAGTGGAGAATGAATTGAACAACTGCTGCACCTTGATGTGATAACCTGTCCGCTGCAAGTGACATTGCATGTGTACCAGAATCAATCTTGTAACCAGCTTGACTTTCTTCAGTTAAATTCATTTTTTGATTCCCAGGCTCCAGTATGCTATTCACACCTCCAATACTCCTTTTACACTCAGGACATTCTCTGCGTTGATTGGGTTGTGTGCAGTCACCAATGCTATAAAGATATCCACAGGCACAAACATACATTGTATTTCGTCTATTAGCATCTAATCTATAATCACCAGGGAGTGCAAATAGAAAATGTTCTGGCATACTTGGAAGATAAACATTTTCTATAGCATTCAGATTTTTTATAATCGAACTGAATCCTTTCATAATTCCATTTTGACTAGTTGCTGCTACCACAGATATCATGATGATTTGATATAAGGTATGTGCCTCTTGAAAAGTTGAAAAATGATTCACCGAGTACTGTAAAATAACTTCATTGATAGGCACCAAAGGAGTATTCTGAGTTTTATCCTTGATAATATTTACTATTTTCCCAATTGTTGCATTCTCTTTCTCCTTAAGCCATGAAAACAAAGCAAAAAGCTTTTGCAGACTGTTGGTATGGTCACTCAACAAGTCTTCAACAAAGCGTTCAAAATCTTCAATAGGTGTCTGGAATAATTGAGACTTGATATCCTTGAAATCATCTCCTAACAAATACCAGTAATCAACAACCGAAGTTTCAGCAACTTGTTGGAGTGAAGGCGGAATTAGAACCTGTTGAATATAATTGATAAATCTGTAGTGTCAAAATACAATTAACGCATGCCGTGAATCATAGTTTACATATAGATTAAAAACATTACTGAAACATTGAGATGATAAGATTAACATTAAATATGTAAATCCACTTCTTATATTAAATTTGAGTTATGGAATAAACATTCTCTTTATATTCACATAACATAAAATCTAGTAGATCTGGATTGCAAATTATATAAACTATAAATATTCAACCTGTAAGTGATTCGAGTTCTATGAAAATCAGTAAATAAGAGAAGCTATACCATCAATGGAAGTTTTCAAGTAACATGTGATTTGGAAAAGCTATAAGTACTATAGTATAACCCCTATATACTAGGTATGTATGTCAACTGTGGGAGTTTAATGTGAGAGTTTTTTTAACCTTTGTATGTTATCACAGAATTAATATTTATTAATAATAAATATAATATAATTCTATTAATTATATTCACATAACATAAAATCTAGAAGATCTGGACTGCAAATTATATAAACTATAAATATTCAACCTGTAAGTAATTCGAGTTCTATGAAAATCAGTAAATAAGAGAAGCTATACCATCAATGGAAATTTTCAAGTAACATGTGATTTGGAAAAGCTATAAGTACTATAGTATAAAACCTATCTACTAGGTATGTCAACTTCGGGAGTTTAATGTGAGAGTTTTTTTAACTTTCGTATGTTATCACAGAATTAATATTCATTCAAGTGTTAAAAGACACAATTTAGCCCATTTAAGGACTCACCTTCAATTTTGCATGATTTTCTAATTTAGCAAGCCACTGCGTTCCGAACTTGTGGCATCCCATTTTTATGAAAAAATCTTTTACTGACTGTGGAGTATAGGAACTTGTCATAAGACTCAGACCAGTTTCAATCAATGCATCATTGGAATCCATTGTGCTCCCAGTCTCTCGCAAAATATCATTGACATAGAGAACAAAATAAAAGACAGCAGATCTTATATCAGCAATTCTTTTTATCAAGGCCAAAGTTTGAATATCTGCGAAGTTATCTGTTTGAAAATATTGCTTTGCTTTAGCTAATATTTCCTCCCAGTATTTGACAGTCTTGTCATACTTTCTCGTATAATTTCTTATTGCATTCTCTTCAAAATGTTTAAGCCCAACTATAACGAATGACTGAAAATCTGCTGTATTCAGTTTTGCCATATCCTGATTTATTTTATCAGTAACTAAAGTAGGATTAAAACTGAGTAAAATTTGCAAAATTGAACTTCTGGTATTAATATTGATATCCAATGCAGTGGAATCGATTTCTTCATTTTCTTCTTTTCTACTATGGAGAACGAACTTTTCTAAAATCAATTCAATATGCTGTTTCATCCGACTCATTTCATCTGAAAAGTCCCTCTGTTTCTTGAAGCAAAACTCTTTCAAGTATTTCAAGAAAAAATTTGTACAATTCAGTTTAAGTTCCTGCAAAATAACAGATTGATGTTTATTCAGGGGTGTAGCAGTAGGGACAAAATCTTCAGGAATATCCTGAATGCAAATTGGACATTTTTGCCTTTCATCTTGCAAATTCAGAATGGTGGCAATACATCCTTCACATGCATAATGGCCACATGGCAAGTTAGTAGGGCTCTTGATCCTAGATCTGCAAAGATGACACTTGAAGTCGCCCCAGCCAATCAAAAGTTTCAGTTGAATGTCCTGGTAACATCTTTTCAAAACATTGCCAACAATGCGTAAAAACTGATATGATTTTGGATCAGACATTACTGAACCTCGCCAGAATAGTTTTGCTTGCGGTGCAATCACTTTTAAAATTTTCTCAAAAAATACATTTTCATGCGAAATAGGAAGAACACATTGAAGAAGTGAATCGAGTAGGGACAATGATATCCATGACTTGCTGTCATCTTTTATATCATGAACTATAGATCCATATATATTTTTGAAACATCTCATCAACTTCAACCATTCGACACACTCTTTTGGTTTGTCAATCTTTTCTGCCATATTTTTCAATATTTTTAATGTGTCTTTTGCTGCTTCAAGATGAAGAATGAATGCTTCAGATTGATTCTTTTCCCAGGTCTTTGCATTTTCCAATATTTTTGGACAAGCATGAACAACTGTTGAAAATATCTGTAATTTCCTCTCAAGTTCTTTGTATGTCAGGAATATTATTGCAATTTCTCCCCCAGAATGAAACTCTGGTCTGTGTCGAGCAGTTTTGAAAGCTGTCAGAGACATTTTAAAAATAGTATCTTCAATAAGTTTGGCTTCATTCGGATCATCCGAACCAGGAATGTACAGAGTTGTTACAAGATCACTTACAAATGCCTTCATAACAGAAATTTGTGCACTCTTCAGAGCATTAACAACGACTTCATACATTTTTTGATTTTGAAACAATCCAGGAAAAACTTCATTAAGATTTCTGCAGTGCTTAGATTCTAAAGCATATTCTGTATTGAGAAAATCAATGATATAAAGCTGAATGGCAATTGACAACATTTGTTAGCATACATTGATCCGGGTATGGTGAATTTTGCTGATTTAGTCACATCTGTCCAGGTTATGTCTAGTAGCTCGAACATGCTCAACCACATGTTGGTTAACCAGGGAGCGACAGATTCGTTTTCAATAAGATCCATGTTATTGTCTCGATCAATGACACTAACAACACATGCAAGAATGCGAGCGGCATGCTTCTTCAAACAAAGCCAGATAGTTTTTCTGAATGTCCCTCCCTCTTGCAAGTTTTCTCTGTTCAAAGCTTCTGATTCAATCCAATCTTTATTATCATTTTGTTCATGTTTTTCCAACAAAACAGTTACCATTTTATCAAGCAGAAGTTTGCAGAAATATTTATTGGCATCTTTATTTTCCAAAAACAATTTTTTCAGTATTTCAATACGCTTGAAGTATCTATTGCTCTGTTTTTTTTCGCTTTCTACTTTTGCCACCGCTTCACATACACTATCACTTAGGAGAGACTTCATATTCACAAGTACTTCTTCATTCTTCAATTCTAGCTCTTGCTTGCCAATCTCAAATACTTCTGACAAAGATTTGCCTAAAAACTTGCTAGCTGGAGCAAGGTGGTGGTCAGTAGGACGGAGCTCATCCACATAAATGATATTGAATTCTTGTGTATGTTGCAGTACAAGTGCTTCAGATTTTGATCCCAATTTGCATTCTCTCTCAACTGATAACAACATTGCAATGACAACAGTGACATTAGAATTATTATTTGATTTATTTTTGAACTCCAGTAATTTATTCGTCAAACAATGTTGTGCACAAGCTATAAGAGAACTATTTATTTGTGCCTGCGCACATTGAACAAGCAGAATATGGACGCTTTTGGTGCAACTTTCAATGGGTTTACTGCACTGATTAAAAAAAACATCGAGCTTATCAGAATATTCTTGTTGTGTATGGAAAAGTTGAAGTGACCAACGTGTTATTATTGGTTTAACATCTTTATTTCCAAGTTGTTGTTCAAGAACATATTTATCATTTCCAGACAATATGCTTGAGTACGAAATAATCTCCATACATGAAAGTTTCTGGTTTTCTTCAATGCATCTATTCAATACATCAACAAGTCTGTCATGGCATTGTTGCTTAAAGTAAACTTCCAAAGCCATATCCACTTCAGCAGTACATAGACTTGAATTGTTCAACCTCAACAATGCATCCATTGAACAAGACTGCAGAAGAGTAAATTTGTACGGACAATAAGACTGCTCACATTCAAGTTCATTAGTAAAATCTGTGGTCAGAACAACAGAACTAATTGTATCATCATGAAATCCAACAAATGCATCGCTTTCGACAAATGTCGATTTTTTCAACTTGGTAAAATTTGAAGCCCACGAGGATAACTCTTCGGATTCAATTCTTGAAGCTTCATCCAAAAGACTTTCTGAGTTGAAATGGTGTTTTTCAAGCCTATTTATCAATGGTATTGGATATTTATGAAAGACGCAGTCTTTTTTCTCAATAACAATTAGTCTAAAATCTTTGGAAATTCTGGATTTGACCCTGTGGCCTCCAAGACCAAGGTCAACATAATTTTGTCCCCCTAATGTCACAAAATGTTGGTTAAGAGCATCATAGAGTGATTCGTGTATTTCGGTCATGTTGAGAAGAATTACAGTTTTTCCAGTTTCCATGCATACTTTAATTCTATTTATATTTCTACATATTTCAGTGTAACTGTGATCTCCTGGAAAACTCGAACCAAACACAACATGAAATCCTCTATTATTATTTTTAATGCAATATTCTAACAAGTGGACAACTGAAAACTGGTTAGCCAGAAGAAGTAAAAATCTGCTTTCTGTTTCACTAAGATTATCGCAAATCATATTTTGCAAGGGAATATTAGGAATTGCAAGAGTGCTATCGCCACTTTGTTCTTTAAATACATTGAAGACTTTTTCTATAATTGTATCATGAACTCCTGTGGGCCCTCCACTAAAATTTCGAAGAACGGCATAAACAACATCTTCAAAGCTAATTTCATTTTTTTTAACAGTTGCAAGCTTGTGGCAAAGCATTTTCATGAGGCTATAATAATCTCTCAGCCCAAAATATTCTTTTTCCTGAACTTCATTGTAAACTTCCAGATAAGCTTCTGTCAAAGATTCAAAAATGTCTTTATTGATTCTCCATAAGTTGGTATTTTGAACAATATCTTTTCCTGTCTTTTTTAAGTCAAGTTCAGTAGGTTTACTTCTTGTCAGGAATATTCCTCTATTCATTTTTGCAGGATCCAGAGCCCAATTGGAGATTCCAACAAACCCAACTCTTTCATCATCAGGTTGTAAAACAGTAATTAGATCTGTACTTCGACGCTCCAGAAGCGGATGAAGAACCTGAAAATAGAGAGATAAGATCTTACAATAACAAGCTTATATTCTATCATCATTTACAGTAATCGAAATAATCAGGCGAAAATAGATTTACTTTCAGTGGCATGTTAGCAGAATCTTCAGCAAGACCGATTTCATCCAAAACTACAACAGCAGTAAACGTTTTCAAATCCTGTTTCTTTTGCAGCTGAGCACATTGCTTAAAAACGCTTTTGATTCCTGCTGCATCAGTGAGTGCACTACATTGGTATGAAAGTATATGAATCTGAAAAATGTAAAACATATGGTAAATGATGTGCCAGTCAGTAGGTGCATTGTATAGACCAAGGGTGTATAACCTTCAATACAGCAGAGCCATATACAAGTAACTGAAAGAAATCGTGGGCCACGACTTTATTTAACATAAGTGTCCTAGTACTTGCAGGCACAAAAACGCAATTGTGATATCATAGGCATAAATTATAAATTGAACTCAGGTATAGGGTTTGTACCTCAAAGGGATTGGAATTACTTGCATGTACCAGAGTAATCTAAAATCGTTTCACGGGTTGCAAATCATTCAGAATTGGCACTTCTCCATGAGCCGCACAATTTGCTTTGTGGGCCACATTTGGCCCATGGGCTACAGGTTGCATATCCCGGGCATTGGCAAATAACCATCACAAGACAAACCTATTAAAATCACCTGTTTCAAGTTTCTGTACAAAGGTGCATGTGAAGTCTGCCCTTGCATATTGTTGGTTATAATTGTTTTTGCCAATGACTTTGAGCTTCCTGGTTTGCCAATCAAGAACAATGGAATTTTCATATCAGCACAGATGGCCATCATATAAACATTTTCTTTCAGAGCTTGATTGCAAGCGATGTTATCTCCTATTCTTATGTTGCGTAAAAACACAGACTGACATGCTGTGAGCTCCATGTTTATGTAACTTTCATTAACATTTGCTATTGCAAGATTCTCTACCAAAACGTTTCGAAAAGCTTGTCTATCATCAAGTGATGCATGGTAACAAACTCCAACAGTTTGTATTATTATTCGGATTTCTCTGTTGATTTCAGGAATTGGTTTTTGTGCCTTTTTACAAGATTCTTCAACTTCTTTTTCAATATGGTCAAAAATAACATCCTGATGTTCAAAGAACCATTTGAATGTTATCATGCACCTCTCCACATCCCGTAGACTGACATACCTAGGTAAATCATAAAAATTAATAATATTTTTGTCAAATAATTTCCAAGTTTAGAAAAAATGCGATAAAATACATTACCTGCACTCATCTTTTCTTGTCCTCATGAATCTTTGTGATTGTGAAAGCACAAGGTTAATGATCGAAATTGTTTTCTCATTCAACTTAAGATCAGTTGCAAGTTTTTTCGTCATCTGCTCTATATAAATTTTTTCTGCATGATCATTCAACTGCCCGAAGTCCCATACAAATGGTTGCATGCTTGGAGGCAATGCAACAACTCTGTATACCAGTGTACGAACTGGGATATTGCCAAATAAATGAGCAGTTTCACTTGTATGAATTCGATATCCAAGTCCAGAATCCTCCAATTTCTTAATGGCTTCTTGTGAAAGTTTTTTATAAGGATTGCATGCAGCAACAAGTTGCAATCTTGAGTCTTCAAAAGACTTTCCGCCAATACTAAGATCACACATAACTTCCTTGATTGCATAAATTGCTTCTGTTGTATTTGCTTCATCATAAAATAATGTTGTTGTCAGATTGTGCTTTTCCCTATTCATAACTTCAGCCTCTTCAGCATTTTTGACACTTTCATGAATATCATCAACAGTTATTCCACCATGAATTTTCAGAGTAATCATATTTTGAACTTTCTCAATAGTATTGGCCTTTGGTCTACCAGCTTTTAATTTACTCATAAACTCAACTAATCTTGTCTTGCCACATCCAGTTTCACCCATGATGATCACAGGGATTTGGCAGCGAAATCTCATATAAATTGCAAGAATTTTTAGGACGTTATCAGTTGTGAGTTCATAGCTTGGATCAGGGTCATACTGGTCATAGTCATCTTCTACGCCCAACACACGTCGCAAACGAATCAACTTTTCTTGCCTAGAATAACTATCAAAATCTTTTTCCAAATCCATTCCTTGGAGTTTAAGGGCTTGGACCAATCCTGGAGTTGCAATGTTGTGCTTCGTTATTTGGCCTTTGTCATCAAGTAAATGACCCTCTTTGTTAATTTTTACATTGATGAAAGTCAAGGTTTTACGATCATCATTAAAGAACACATAAGGGTGAGTTGATTCCTCCCACTTTCTTCGAATTTGATGTGCCTGAAATCCTTGACGATGATTATCAGAGATGCTGCTGTCTGAAATTTTTAAAGACGGGGTTGCAAAATCCTGGGCCATTCTTATCATAAACTTTACAGCAAATTCTTTCAATCCGTTCAAATCTTGTTTTATAGCTGGACTGGTGCAAAACACAGATTTTTCACAATTTTGTAGCTGAACGTTGAGAAAGCTACAGAAGTGCCGAAGTTGAGCCCAAGATGGATTTTGCATGCAGCAGTGACGTAGTAAGACTTTAATGCAGTTATCTTGGTTCCCTGTAATTAAATAAAAATTAATTGAATTATAAAATTTTATGAAATAAAATGTGCCAGATGACACATTGTTCTAATTATTAAGAACATGCACACCTTCTGGATACTAATAATATTAACGGTAATTTAATTGTTGGAATAGAGTTTAAATGATAGATGAAAACCAGAAATTTTTTACGAAACTGCTTATACAGAGCCATAAACACTTTGTGTGCAGAATGCACCGCAAGTATGTATGACATGCACTGTAAGTTTGCAGATATCGCACTCATAAAAATGACCCATTTACCACATTCACCATGAAATTTTGTTAAAATGATTTTTTAAGGTATTGAGTATTTTGATTGAAGAGAACATAACAATATCCATGACAAATGTCTAAAAAGCTATAAGTAGTTGTTACATCCACATAGCATGAATATGGTACTTACATTAGCAGGTACATTTTACATACGGTACTTTTGTTAATTTTGATACTGAATACAATAAATATGGTACATACGCTACAGTTTGCAACATACCCCTATTGTCCCACTGGTCAGTGCACAATGAACTACATTCAATACCTTCTGGTGTAGAATAGGCAAAAAGATCCAGATCCTGTTTGTTATCATGTCTCAGTAGATATTGATATGGCCTTTGAAATGTTTCAGATGAAAATTCTTCGACATCCACACCAATTTGTTCATCAAAATTTTTATTGCATCCATTCAATATCTCTTGCGGAGAAAAACATTTCACATAGGGCAACATATTCAATATATGTTGATTCGAAAATTTTTTCTACAAAATCAAAAGATATGTTAAATAAAACTTACAACAGCAACTTGTAAAATTTAAAAACCAGAATATATATATATATGCTGAGAAAGTGGTTTTGGATTCGATCAACTCAAAGATTCGTGAATGTTCTTTGAAAGGTTAAACACTAATACATTAAAAAGAGGAGTGGTTTTCAGCATTTTTGGGAGAGTAGAACCTCAATAAAACGCCCAATTACTAGGAATGTTACAAAGCGCGATTTTGTGCGCCAAAAAATGTGCGCACCACGTCTGCTAAGTACCGTTACGCCGTGTCAGAATACCGCTCATAAAAACGACTACGGATTGCCTGCTGTTGTTTGGAATTCCATGAAATTTTGACATAACTTGGATAAAATACACAACTATGATTCGGTATTTGAATTTTTACATTAGCGCATAAATTTCCCAACATTCGGGGCTTTTGAAAATTACGCTAAAGTTATACGTACTGCAAATTAATGATATTGTCTATGGACACCAATAAAATATATATGAACGCATGTATGTCATTCCTAACTTGATACTTACCAATTTTTATGAAGTTTGTTCAATCAGAACCTCGGTACCCGCAACGAGGCACTGTCAAACTAATATGCACAACTCCAGGGTTGATTTGCGACGATCTTCCGACGACCTCAATTTGACAGACGCATGCTAAGATCATACTTCTCGTGTCTTGAATTAATAAATGAGAGAATCGTTGCCAGAATAAAATCCTAACATAATCCCAATTTTTTTTAGATGTGACGCACATCGAAAGATTAAGGATTGATATGTGTTCTTTTTTCATATTCATTAAAGTTCTTATTAAAAAAAGTCAATTCGCATACGTTTACGAAACGGTACAAATTAATTCAAGGCACGGGAAGTATGATCTTAGCATGCGTCTGTCAACGCGCTTCACTTATTGATTGAATGCCGACATTTTCCCTCGCAGCGATTTCTCTCGTTTAGCGTTTCTCTGAGCGCGGTAAACTTACGCGGTATCTTACGAGTTAAGGAATATTAAACGATAATTAATCGTTCGTTAAGGTCGGATATGAAAAACGCTAAATCAGTTAATTGCCGCGTAGGCGGGGACTTGCGTAGTGGAAAAGTCGTTGCCGACCAGAGGTTATGTAAAGTTCAGAGACTTTCCTGTACATAATTAATTGGAAAGCAGCTAATATCGTTAAAAAGAATTTGTAAACTTTTTTGCATTAGGTTCTTCTATTCACAATAACTTTTCGATTCTGTTGTTTATCGATCTGACATTCTCGCGGTCACAGTTTTTGAGTCGGCACAATACAATCCTTATGGAAAAAATTGGCCTATCGGACGGTACTTAAATGCCGATATCTCCGTTAATTCTTGACCGTTTTTCGCAAACTTGGTATTGTTTTCTTATTTTCACTTATATCTATCCACTGGTGCAGTTTTTATTTAAATCGGATGAACTTTAAATTTTTTTTGTAACATACCTACAATTACAAACTCCTGTGCAATAGTTTATTTGTTTTTGTCAAAATTATGTCTTATTTGTCTTGTTTAAGTTGTATGAAATATGAATAACAAAGAAAGGAAACCTAATAATGGGGGAAAAAAATGTAGTACAGTAAGTTTAATAATAGTGGCAAATATATGTACAATAATATACTCTTTGATTTAAATGTTAACTTGCGGTACCCCTGGACTATAATGGTGGAACCTTGGGGTGCACAGGATTCCAGTTGAAAACTACTGTTATAGTAACTATGAGATTAAGTCTTATCCAAATTTAAGAAACAAAAGAAAATGGTGTTTGATCAAAATCAACTAATAATAAATGTTTTATTAACATGAAACAATAAAGAAAAAATATTGAACATAATACATAGGGATGTCATATCCATGTTTATAATATGACCTGATAAGAATCAAGATTTATTACATAATAATAAGGTGTAGTAATGCCCTTTCTCCTACCAGAAAATATATCCTACAAGACAGCAAATACATACTTTTCCAGTTGAGCCAAAATCTGTCATTTCAATAAAGTATAAATGATTCGGATGTGTTTTCCACACTTGTCCTCGACTACCTTGGATACTTCCAAGAACAAAAAGATTGAATGCGAAAGATTTTATCCCATGTTGAACCTAGAAACAAAAAAACTTTTGAAAAATTCATATTTGAACATGTTCCCAATATTTACCATTGTTAATTTGAAAAAAAAAAATATCAAAATTCTGTAACTCTCTTTGTAGTGAGTGCTAAGTGAAGTTCAGTGTAACTATATTTCACTATAAATACCCTAGATTAATGTTTTTTTAATAAAATACTTTTTATTAAAATTGTGTCGTTAAATTGTGCAACATTTTTAATAAAAGCATTAAACTTACAGCAGGTGTCAAGTCAATGTGAATCAATGAAACACTGTCTTTCTGAGTTTCATTATGCCTGTTTATTTCATTCAATTTTTTAATAATGTAGTCAGAGTCCAGTTTGTTCTCAAGTAAACGTATTGTAGTAGAATGAAGTTTATTTTTCACAGAATCTTCGAGCTTTTCTTTAACTCGTTTTATATATAATGATTTTCCTGAAAATGTTAGATAAAAGTCATATAAACTATGAATACCTAACCTTATATATCTTATAACATCCGAATAGCAATTTTTTATTTCTATATTAGCTTTAATCGTTGACAAAGAGAAAAATAGCAAAATACATAAATATGTGACATGCAATTACTCGCCGCATGATCTTTCAAATAAAAAATAGTAAAACATACAAGTCAAGAGTGTTTTACTCAGAAAAATATAAACCCCATGGTATTTACTATTCACACAAGTCACAATGCTCAATTACATGAACATAAAGTTCAAATAATTAAATGCCCAAAACAAAAATTACAAATCAAAATCACTATCACAGCAATTCACTTTGGTTCTGGTTAGGCTTTAACTAAACACAGTGGCACAATGCAACACAATGCATGCAAAAATTTGGATAAAATGTCAAGCTCTAATATTTGTGAGGAAAGGTATGTTTGAAAAGTTATCTGAGCAACTAACCAACTCCAGATCTATCCGACATTACAACTTTTACAAGAAAATTGTCCAGTCCAGTTTTGTCATGTTTTTTCATTTGTGTTTTCTTATTTTCAAGATGCATTTTCAAATAATCTTGTATTTCACTCATTGAAGCACTCCACTTACCATCAGCAAGATACTACAGAAATTATGAACACGACGATTAACAAAATAGTATTGTTGATAACAATTCATGTTTAAAATTTGGAATACGTAGGGTATCAGATGTTGATCTGAGTATTTAGAAAATTAGAGATTTATTTTATACTAATAGAGTAACATGTAAAAGCTTTATGATTAATTTTACTGATTAGATATTGGAAGGTGACATAACTACGCAAGTAAAGAAACTGACCTTGTCAAAACAAGTTGAGAGATAATGCTTTTGACTGCTTGTTACAATTACAAGTTGATACTTTTTATTAAGTTTTTCTTCGTTACAAGATGACAATTTCCGAAATATTTCTTCTACCGCTGTTGAAACTTCCAATTTCAATTTATCAGCAAAAGCCAAAGTGAACAAATGCTGATCTGTATTTACATTATTATTATTATATAACTTATTTTTTCATTCAGATTAACATGACAGACAAATATTCAAATCGACATGTATTGAATTTATTACATTGCAGCTGTGAATTGCAAAATTGTATACCATTAGGAAATATAGAAAGTGTTTGACCATCTTTTCATGTAAAATCTTAAGTTTTAAGCACTAAGCACAGCAATTGATCCAGAAAGATGAATAACAGGGGCGACATTAGAATTAAATAACTTGAACTTCCAGTCTAACGTTTTTGTAAGTGTGAGTATCTTGTTGAAGCCTACTCATCAATTAAGCAAGAGTATTAAAAGTGAGAAAAAATTTGTCTTTGTATTCGAGGTTGATTAAAATATCTCTGTTTTAAAGTGGATATACAAAATTACAATATGTGTCAAAAAGCTGGCTTACTATTATCCTGACAAGAACACATTGCTCTTCGAAAAAATCTTTCAACTTCATCAGTAGTTGTTTCCTCATTGCATATAACAACTTCTGATCTCCCAGGTAAAGGTTGATCAATGTTATTCATGTACAACGATAGCACTGTAGGGAGAATATCTTCTTCATTGCAAACTAGAAGATTGGGCTGGCCATGTCTTAATCCAGGAATTAGTTGACGATGAGATTGACCTTCCTGGCTCAAATTGTGTAAGCATTTGCCAAGTTGTTCAATACTTAGGTAGTCCTCTAAATCGATTCCCTTAAAATTAAGAAATGCAAAAATACAACTTATATATAAATTTATTCAAAAAAATCAAAATACAAACTTACAATAGCTTCGTCCAAATAGCCATTGCATATAGTGTTGACAGAATCCAAAAAATTACTTCCAACAGTTGATATAATATTTTCTCGTAATCTGCCGATCACTCCCAACAAAGTATTTCCACTTGTACTTAAAGCTGATGCCAGCATTTGAAGTTCTAAACTTTCTTCTTGATTTAATTCTAGTAGTAACAACATTTTATTGAAAATATTTGATTTTATAAAGTATTTTCAAATTTTTTGTCACTAAAATATTGCTTACCAATGGCATCGTTAAAAGTTGAACAAAGCCCTTGAATTAAATCATCTTCTCCATCATGATAAAGAGCCCAAAATTGTAATTTTGACAAATCATCGCATCCTTCTGATTGAACAGCAGCTTTAGCTAGATTTTCCTCAATCCCATCACGTACTAAACTCCTAACAGTTTCAAGACGTTTCTTCAATTCAGTTTGGGATACTGCTTCAAGAAAAGATAAACACACTCAGTATGGATAAGTAATGCAGATATATAAAAGCACCTCATTGTTAAACTTTCAATAACAACAAAGCATGAATACTAACTAACCTTGCTGATGTTCTATCAGTTCGTTTTCATCAACTGATTCATCCTCGGATAGATTCCCATCCTCTGATTCATCATCAGATAAATTCTCATCCTCTGATTCATCACCAAGCAGATTGTCATCTTCTGATTCCAGTTCCATTGCACCAGCTAGGAATAAGAACAATGACTACCAAAGCCACATAATTCATAACTGTATTCACATAATTCGCAAATTCAATACTTTATGGGATCATGTTGATGACATCCCACTCTAATTATTACTGCACAAAAACATCAAAATGTAACATAGGTAATAAATTCCTTCAATAATAGTCGCTATTAACAAATTCTGTACCGGAATTCGACAGCCAAGGGTTACGGATGCATGTATGGCCGCACTGGCAGGAAATATGTTGAATGTTTTCTGGCCTTGAAGCGCAATGTCATTAGGCCTTGTAGTGCAATTATGATTCACCCCTTACTAAGTTATTTATTTTTATATTGCACGAAAGATATATTTTAGTATAATAAGCAACCAGTTTGCTATAAATGAATGAACTACCTTCAATGTCGACTTTCATTTGTGAATCATCTATGGTCTCAGTTAAATTTTTTAAACATTCTACTAAATCTTCTGGAGTGAAATCTTTTCGCACAAACGACAGAAGAGCAAAAACCTGTTAAAAATTAAACACAAAAAAGTTGACTAGAATCTGAGTTTGTTCAAATTTCACGATTATACTGATGAATTACAACATAAGCTAACTTCTGTACAAGAAACTAACTACCAGTAGATAGCGATCAGAGACCGCCGACTTATCGATCTTCTGCATGTTCAATATTTTACTCGACAATTTTGACGGAGTACGATTTCACATGAGTTATTCTCGCAATCGCAGACTCTTCCTTCAGAGGGAATATGCATAGGAAGCTCTATGATAAATTGATTATCCTGAGTAATGGCTTGAACAGAGTTTCACACAGAACAGTTGTACCAAGCCCGAGGAACCATTTTGGATTACCAGAGGAGTTGCCTGTTCATAGTACTTACAATACATGCAGAAGACCAAGTTTAACTAACCCCAAGCTTTATAAAGTCAACATTATATGAAGATCATTTTGATGTAACATAAGGAATCTAAGGAATCTATACCTGTGCAGGCAAATGTTTTGTTTGCTTGAATATACAAAGTTGTCTGCATAGATGAAGTATTTGCTGGATACTGTATTCATTCAGGTAGTAGAAGTCCATTCGTTTTTTTGAAACATAATCGATCCATCTGAAAAAGTTGTAAATTTGTAAAACGACATAGTTACCCAACTTTTAGGGACATACACAACTTTATTTTGATTTATTTGATAGGGATCCACCACCCCAAACCCCCAAAATAATGGATATAGAATTCTAGAATGTCTCGTTATTTTGTTCTATGTTTAAGGCTTCTGCTCTAATTTTTGACATGGTTTTTGTATTGGTAGTTTGTAATGAAAATAACAACAAAGTTATTATTAATATTACAAAATTGTTAAGTTTTAAATCAAATTTTTAAATATTCATAAAGTCAAAGTTTCAACACATATTCAATCATTAATCACTTCGCTTGGTGCCATCATGAAATTTGACCAAATAATTAAATTTTATCAAGAAACAATGCAACGTTTAGTAACTTCAAAGTAAATAAATTCATTATCCAAGAAAAGATTCTTTGAACTCAATTTTTTCTTACCCTTGCAAAGATTCTGATAATATTCCAGCAAGTTTGTCCAAATCTGTGTGAGTTCCAACAGAAGATATCAATGGAGTATCAGAAGTAAATTTGATGTCAATTTTAATAGAGTTTGTGATATTGCTCGATTCACTCAGACATCTAAAAGTTTGGTAATTATGGTAATAAGTCGAATTTCATATAATTGTATTTTGCACTTGCTTTGAACAAGTGTACAGCCAATATGGAGTTAATTAGTAATATACAAATAAACAAAAAAAATAACTAACCAACCTGACTGTGAGACACCACTCATTGAATAGCATGCATCCAGATTCAAGTAATTTCACATATACTTCTGTTAATTTCTGGATGGAAGTCAAGTTTTCTACAAATATGTTGACATCACGCTGACCTTTTTCTGCCTCTCCGGCAATCAACATTAATTTTGACTGTAACTCACAGAGTTCTCCAAGGCTGAGGATTTGATCTGAGTCTATTTTAAATACAAAATATACCAAACAATAATATCTCCAATGCAAAGCAGAAGTTAAAAAAGTCAATGCTGTTTTTTGCACATGTAAAATAGCACTTTCTAGATATGATAAGACACCTGTTGCATCTTTTCCCGGAACAACCAAATTCAAACAATTTTCTACATTCGGAAGAGCAGTGACATCTTTTTTCTCAATTGTATAAACTCCTCGTTCATTGATTTCTTGAGTTCTGATAAGTGACAACTTTTCAACTGAACCGTGAAACTGCTCCAGTTCTTTAAACCAGGAAAGTTGTTCACTTGTGACTTTCTGTAATAAATAAAATTTAAACAAAGATTTATATCACTATTTTTTTAATTTGATGTATTTTTACCTTTAGTAGTACATTACTAATTTTTTGATATTAGATTAAAACTACAAGTTCAAAAAATCATCAGCTTCTGTAAAAAAAATATTTACAAAATATAAGAACTGTTAAACAGAACATCAAAAATCACTCATCTTTTTGTATTTTCGACTGAAAACATAATTTCATCATTAAATTACATTTTACCCATTTTGTTAGGATATCCTTATCGCCTTTATAGTTGCTCCACACTTGATTGCATTTTTCCAATAGATCGTTTAGGCCTGTTTTTGTTTCAACTTCTTTAATTTCCACATCTTGAATAGTTTGCTCCAACTCTCCATCAACGTTTGCATTATCCAAATTTGTTAAAAGATTTTTTGGCCAAAAAATAAGAGGCGCAAAACCCATCACTGCTCCAAGTAAGTTTGAAACACGATCAACTTCCATTGGGTTTTCACCAGCTAATATCATTGCAAGGTCACACATCACTTTAACCTCATTGATGTCTGAAGTAAATTTTCACACATATTAAATAGAGGAAATTCTTAACAAATATTTTTGAATTTTGATAAACCTTGCAAATGTAAAATTTTAGTAAGAGTATTTTGAAATGAAAAATTAGAAATTTACCATTCATTTTTTGTTGAAGCCAATTAATGAGATCATCTTCTTTCAAAAATGCACTCAACACTTCCAAATTTTCCGAAGAAATTTTACAAACTTGTGGAATCTCTAAACTGACTGGAACATCCTTTAGCAAAACTGATTCTTGATCAGCCAACATTTTCTACAAACAAAACATAAAATATACAAAATGGATAGGAATGAAATACACATGAAAAGAGCTCATAATTCAAGCTAAAGCATACACAATAAATAGTAAGAAATGTTATGAAAAATACAGCTATTTTCGAATAATGGAAATTTTTGTTTGTTTCAAAATCTGAATTGAGGCTTTTATATAAATCCAATCACGGTTTGCATTGAAGTAACTCAAAAGCACAAACACAGAGACAAGAATATAAAAAATCGTTCGATCCTCATTTATTCATCAGATTAACAAATTGAATAATTAATGTTACTGCTTAATACCTGCCTGTCTTCAATACTTTGGAAATGTCCTTGAAGGTCAAATCTGTCTTTGAGGTGAAGAAGCACATCAATTGCCCTTTCTGCCTTACTCTGCTTAAACGTGTTGATAATTTGTTCCACTCTTTCTTCAAGATTTTTCAGTTTAAATGTATGAACTGCCATCGATAACCCATTTTCAAAACTTTCTGAGTTATTGTTTTCTTGATCATCTATAGTTTGCATTTCTTCACCTGCAGAATGAATATGTTTAGATTAGAACCTTGACACTAGAAAACTACATGATAAATTTGCTGCATTTTCAAGTGCATGGATAATAGTATAACTAGTTATTTTAAAAAAATTGATAAATTTTGAATGTTTTCATATAAAAAATTAGTTCTGTTATACATCAAGACACATACTAATACAAGTAATATTGTCAATAAACAATAAGCAGCCCAATCCTGTCAACGTTTCACAACCAAGATATGCAGAAAATTTTAATAATCACTATCTTTCAAAATCAAAATAGCATTCACTAACACACTTTGGGGCTCATAAATAATTGTTGAGAATTACAAAATAGATGAGAAATTCTTTTCTATTAGAGATTCATAAAGTTATACTTTACAAAATTCTTCAAAAATAAACATACACACTATTCATCTAATTGGTGGAGCATGTGAATCATGAGTTATCATAGAATATTTTTACATGCAGTCAATCATTCAAATATACTCTGATCAAAGATGGAATCAGACAGTTTTACTAACACAACATTAGCCACTGCGCTAATAAGTCAACATAATGCAATATTGGGCAAGCAACCTGGTACTACGTCTGGCCTTTTGGAAGTCGCAATTAGTTGATTCTGAAAAAACTCATACAAAAGCTTTGCTTCAAAGTGTATTTTTTCTTCATTCCCATGAGACAGACTAAAATGATCTATGACATCTTCCAAATTACAAGTTCCTAAGTAAAGCAAATACAAACAAGTTAAACAAAGTATATCAATATCACTGCCAAACAGCTTTCCACTTTTATATACATTATCGCAGACTATGTATATATGTAAGATATACCTGAATCAACAGTCTGGGCAAATTCTAAAATTTCTGATTTAATTCCTGTCCACAGTTCAAGAAAGTTTTGCCAATGCCACTCAGAAATATCTTTTTTCTGTAACTTGGCACTCATCATTTGAAGAGATATTCTGCTCTTCTGTAATATAAATTTTCCATGGTATACCAAAATACAATAAAAAATATAAATAATAAAAGAAACATTTCAAAATAGACAGAAGATTTTGATATTCATGATTACATTTGCAAATACCACTTCAACATTATTAAATAGCTATCTTGGATCAATCAATAATAAAATAAACTTTGCAAATTAAAAGTGTTGAAGCCTAAAATAAATCTAACAAGTCAGGATTTTAACACAAGTAACAGCAAAGGAGTATTCTTTAATAAAAAAAATACCAAAAAATAAACAAATTTTACAAAGAAAAATATTAAACACTCAAAAGTTATAAATGAACATTAGGCGAGAAGGAATAAAGCATGGGTAGATATTGTTTTTTAAAAGGAATAAATATATTTGCTTAGCAGTTTATAGGGAAGGGATGGGCAACCCATGGCAAACTTGGCACGCCAGCCCATTTATACCGCATGCGAGCGAGGCCTCAGAAACGAGATCATTTTTCTTCAGATAAAAAGTTCCACGACTTTTTCTGATGAAACTTGGTGTTTGTTTATTCATTATAGTTTTTTAACATTCCGTTATTTATTTAAACTCTTTTAGTCCCTTCATATCGCTACGAAGACATTTATTATGACATAACAACTGAGTGAGCTCTCGACAAATTTTGTATTGTTTTTAAGGTGAATAATTTCATTTTGTTTATTTGGTGTCTCCACTGCTAGAAGGGATATTTATTATATCAGCAAGGCACTTCACATGTACTTTTAGGAATGGCAGAAGTATGTTTTTAAAAATTTTGGATGGCATGCAGAAGAATTTTGTCATTAAATTTAGCCAATTTTGGCACGCGAGCCGCAAAAAAAGGTTGCCCACTCCTGTCATAGGGTTTGTCACCACTGTTTTAAAGCACTCTAAAGAGACATCACAATAATAAATCAAGTAAATCATCAACAATCAGTAGCAATCATACACTGATAATGAGAAATAGGTAACCAGTTTCAATCGTACAGAGAGGTCATAAAAGAACCAAAGCTGATTATGAACAGCAGTGACAGACCACAGAGGATATAACATCTAATTAACATAGAAAAATGTAGGACATTCAAGTTTATCCTTACAGATATTGGAGCCACATCCCACACAGCTAACCGTGACCAAAAATGGCGTACGAGAAATATGGCTGAGTTCTGGCAGAAAGAATTATGGCTTTCTTCCCCTACAGATCTGAACCCTATGGACTTCGCCATCTAAACTATTCTGGAGACTGGAGAGTAAGTCTATTCTTCCAATCACACAAGTGTCGAGGCTTTAAAGCGTAGATTGGTGACTTGTTGAGAAGAAATTGCAGAAAAAAACATACATGCCTCGTGCAGATTGAGGTGTGTAGTGAAGGAATATATAACGAAAAACAAAAATGAATAGTATTTTTTATCTTTATAATGTTATTTTCTACAGAGTATTTTTTTTCCTTCGTAGATTTATATTGTAAATATTTTAATAAATGTTTGTCTACAATTGATCTGATCATCCTGCAGATCAGCTATTCTGCAAGCTCCCGTCGAAACCCAACATTTTGAACAGTTGAAACTAAGAGCATAATATGAACTTTATGAAGGAAAAGCTGATTTTGTGTAACATTATAGATTATGATCTTTGCAGGTGAAACCTTAGATACCAATAGCCTGTGTTTAAAAAGCTCTTGTTAGGTAACAATGATGTCAATGGCAGGAGAATCAGATGTTTTTTGTTGTATAAAATATACGATAGAAAAGGCGAATAACTGATATAGCAAAAATTGCAGTTTTGGAGATTCGAAAGATGATATGATGACTCAAAAACGTCGGTAGCTCATTCCTTTCTCAAACTTCAAACTGCATTCAAATGCAAAAAAGCGTTTGTCCAATACTTAACAGAAAGAGAGATACCAAATGACTCAGCGCCATTTTGGGGTTGTCCAGAACAGATGATGATGATATTATGCAAAGGTATTTGGTGAAATATTTTTTGCCACAGATTAATACTTTACACTGGAATTCAAACATGCCCTCGTTCACACAAATATTTATCTCAAGTTTGTTATAAAAACAAGATATTTCGTGCACATATTGAAAAGGATCTAAGAGTGATATCCTATAGAAGTACACCCAGACCCAAGCGTATAAGTTTGTGTCGATATCAGTTTCTCGATGAAGTGTAATGGAATCTGAGGTGTAATCAGCTGAAATTAGTCATTTAAAGGCTCACTAAAACTTTTATCTGTGCAAAGCGACACACAGCTAAGCTATTTTATGAGTTGTTTCGATGTGTAAGATTGAATTATCTATGAGCTATAGTTATCTTTGCATAATTAGTAGGCTGGGTAATAGGAAGGTTTCATGGTAAATAACTGTTTCAGAGGACCTTCACCGAACCCCTGGAACAGCTCGATGGAACCCAGGTTAAGAAACACTGGAAGAAACTCTAGAGATTACATTGACCCACTTTATCTGGATTTCTCGGAGAAAAAGTTCCCCTGCTGGGGAAAATAGGAGTTTCGAAGGTGTTCATTCACATGGATACAATGATGAAATGTTGGACGTTGTGCACTTATAGAGAATATACGATAAAGAAAATCGGGTATAAGGAATTAAATAGATTTTGGTATAAATTGAAACAGCAGTGTAAACTTTGATCACTTAAGATAAAGTAATGGGTATATCACTTGCACAGATACAGGTAAGATATATTTATTCAATGAAACAATGTTTCACATATGAAATGCAACAAATTGACATTAGATATAAAATATCAATGAAAATTTGTAACAGTAATTAAGTATAAGTAAGTATAAACATTGAAAATATTTGACTTTCATTAGAGATTTAGATGACCATAAACATTTTTTTAAATTCTAATTCTATTAATAAAACTCCCCACAAAACAATTTCCCACACTTAAAAAACTTTTGTGTGCTCCCGGTGCAGCTCTTGTACCTAATTTGTCGTCATGTACACCTTTGCTAATGTATGTCCTAATATATTTTCATCCAAGTTCAGGGGAATCACGTCCAGGCAATACTAGGCATGAAATTATCATATCTTCATATCAACCATCTCTCAAATTTCTAAGGGAGTCTATGATTTCTCAGCATGGACAAGCCTAGGATCACATAGACATAAAGTTGATTGGAAGCAAAATTCAGTAAAATTTCAGAAATATCAATGATGAAACTTACTTTTAGAAATGATATTGTGCAAAACTTTTTGTATTCTTCAGAAGATATTCCAAAAAATTCATCAGCATTCATATCTTGTGATTCATCAGTTACATGTGCTATCAAAGCCTGAACTTTATAATTTTGCACATTCTTTTTCACTTGTGTTATTAGTTTATCACAATCGATCCAATTAGATTCTAGGTTAAACACAAAAAATATGCAACTTGCATAACTATTATTATTTACTTTAATATCTTGATAATGTAACCCCACAGGACTAAGCTATTGCATGTCAAACAAAGAGAGGATATTAATGGAATTATTTACGGTGAAAATATAAAAAACTTTGTGAATAAAAAAAAAGAACGATGAATCTTATCCTTACAAATATTGCAATTTTAAATGACTTGAATCATATATTATAAATCCTATTTTTATACAGAATTTTACATCACAGAATACATCTCAAGGCCTTTTCTTTTACTGATCTGTAGAATCATATCTCTGAAGAGTGTTGCAATTATGTCCCGATTTGCATCCTAATATACTAGCACCTCGCAAACAAACCTCGAATTTTCTAGTAACCTCAATTTGACATTGACATCTATAATATTCTCAAGAGTGGAAAAGTAAGTGAGCCATTGAATATGTTAAATCATTTACCATTGCTAAGAGCATCACATATGTCCACGAAATCCTTTACAACACATTTGCATTTTTTGAAAGCTTCCAAGTACATTTCACATTTAGCAATAGAAGACCTAACACCTTGTGACACACCATCAACTGGGGTACTCTAAAATAAAACCACATTTTATTTTATATTAAAAAAATTCAAAATTTGTTCATAATAATATGAATATCAAAATTATGCACATACTTCATCATCAGTTGATAATTTTATAGCAGAATATAATAGGATATATTTGTCTTTATGTTTGACAATCAACTCCAGATCTTTGACATGAATGTTAGCTGACTTCAACAAATTCATTGATTCTTCAAAACAATCAGCGATTTTTTTTATTTTTTCTTGTGTGTCTTGTTGAAAATATTTCATAGCATCATTCTTATCTGGCAAATAGATGGATGAATTTTATTTGCAGATTCTCATCTCATAATAATTTGATAATAAATTTTAAATAAATTTAATAAACAAAGTAGAATTATCAAATTATAATTTGGGAATATAATGTCAAAAGACATTTAAAAAATGATTTTATTGAAATGGGCAAAGGCATTCAAAGATTGAGTGCACTATCGCGAGGATGGGTTATTAAAGTATGCTTAGAAAAATTGACCAATTGGGTATAATATTTATTATACATTAAGATTAAAGTCAACTAACAGAAAAGCTGGTAAAACTGGAGTGAAAACGACCAGTCAAAAATGGAGGTGAGAGTGGAGGTCAAGCTATTTCCACTTTGATTCTGAAACTCCTTTGTGAACACTTTCTCAAATATTTTGAATATTCTGTCATTATTTTTTTTTGATGAACTCTGAATAATGTTTGCAAACATTCGAGTAAGGACGCCAGTATTCTGTAAGTATAATATAATGTTAAATGATTAAAGACAAAATAAGTATAGTATATAAAAAATAAGTATATTTTTGAAATTAAACATAAAAAGTTAGATACCGTAGTTCAAAGATGGTCATTTCATTACAGCATACGCAATGCAGAAAAACTATTTTGGACATACCGTATATATGTAATGCAATTTACATCTTGAATTTAGATACAGGTATATAACAGGTACTTATACTTGTATATATAAATTTTTCTCCAGATGTATGCCAATTTTTTCATGTTATATAATTGTTTTAAATTAATGATATATATTAGATACTTTTTTTTGACTGTCAGCCAGTATGTTTTGGGCACAAATGAAAGCCATGTTATTAAAACATTCTTCCAAATCTGTTTGCAGGTTTCGTTTCCCAAGTTTATTGGCAAAATATTCCATAAATTCCAAAGATTTAGTTTTCCATTCCTGCAATCGTAAAGAAGCCACATTTATTACTAGGTTTCTGATTGTTCCAAACGTAATTCAACGATGACGTTACATCTTGTTTGTACAAAAAGTAGAAATGATAATAATAATACAAGCTGTAAGCAAGCATTTATACAAAAAGAGGTTGCATATAGGTTAATCCTTGTGACACAAATATCAGTGTTGGGTAGAAGAAGTTGCTATCCTTGGGTAATGAATGTTTACATATAACTCCTGCAGACAAAATAGTTTCACACTCCATGTTTTATGGTTACATCTGGCACGTACAGAATACTTTCTCCTATTCCACAAATAAAAATTTCAAATAACAACGAATAGTTCCAAATTAGCACAAGATAACAAAAATTTTATTTAGCTTTCTTCACTTGTGTCTATCAACTAAACTACTGGGGTAGAAGTGAGTAAAATTCAATACATAAGAAATGTTTTGTTTCTCATGTGCTGGATCATGGCCTCAATAATGCTTGTTATATTTGGTATAGAGAATATATTATGTAGACATACTTTAGTGATAGATGTAGCAATGATTTCTTTGATTCTGCTTTTCCAGGACACTCCGAACTGTTCATCAAACCACTCCACTGACAGAAGATTTTGCCAAAACTGAAATATGGTGAATAAAACATATATTACGAAGATACCTATGTGACATTTACCGGTAATTACAAAAACGAATTTCTATGTTAACTAATTTTGAATACTTCAACATTTATGGTGTAAAACAACATTTTAATTGCAAATCGATTCTATGACCAACAGATGCAGAAACTGATTGTTTATTTATGTCAGAGGTTGTGTGTCTGGAGAGGACATCAAATGACTCTCAGGCAGTGTTCCCTCTAAGGTGTGCGCGTGTGCGCACGCACACAGCTTTCAGAGGCTGCGCACACGCATAGATTTACTGCGCACAGACGTATTTCGATGTAATGTAACAATGTGCTCGGTTGGCAGGTTGAGAAAGTTTGTTGTTGGCCCACTTATTACCCAGTTAGAACACCAAAATTTCTTCATTGGTTTTTGCACAAATATTAGTCATTTCCAAAAAAGTGCGCACACCAAAATTTCTGCGCACACATACTACAAAAAATTAGAGGGAACATTGCTCTCAGGCAAAGATGTAAAATCAGGTTTCTGAAACCATTCATTAAAATTTGACAAATAAAACCCTCAACTTCAGCACCCACATGCTTCCAATTTTGAGTGTTTGTAATTGTGCTTTACGAATCGAGCCCACAAAAGAGACAAAAAGTTGATAAATATGAATGTGATAAATGCCATTGACAAACAAGATTTGATTTTCTGCAAGAAATTTAGCCAAATCTTGCCATCTTGTTCATTGTTCACACCAAGAGTAATAAGTTTTTTATTATGTATATATAAGATTTGTGCATTTGCACTTGTGATGCTTGGCATCCAAAGTTTCATTGTCTATGTTTCACATTTCTTATGAGGGTGCTTAGTACAGCGACCTAATGCAAAATATTAAGCAAGCATTGGAAAAAATTAATAAAAAATCTACCAATTGACGCGCATCCAATCTAAACAAACATTATATACAGAAAATGTTGATTAACATAAAAAATATTTTTTCTCGTAGTGGTTTTAAGCCAAAATTGTTCCAGTCATAAGAAAAGCCTTTGGAACATAGTTACATTACCTAATTTGGCATAGGAATGAATATTCATATTTATCTCGGAATAGAGGAATGGGGAATAAGATGGCTTAATCATCCCAGCAGTCTAGTTACAAGCTACATGAAGACAACAGTCTCACATTTATTCTTCGCATATATTTCATGTTTTGGATTGAGATCATAGTATTAGTCTATTGTCTGAAATTTTGACTGTATAGATAGATATGTATATAAGATAGGATTTTCATATTCATTTTGAGAGAGAGAAAAGAGCTGTTTTGACCATTAAATAAATTTGGCTTATTACCAGTCCTGGTCAGAAATGAAATAGTTAACCAGATTGAGTTTACAGATTTTACATGACATGTAGGGTTTACTATGTTCAGGATCTTGCCCAGGGTCATTGCAGTGACATCACAATGCAAAAGTGAACAAGTGAAAACCATTAAAGACAAGAACGGTTTGAAATGTGACATTATAATACCATTTATATAACAGGGTTAATGTTCCCACCATTTTTACATACTAGCCTACATACTTAATAGTTGTGATCTTATATTGCATGCAATAATTGTCAATAAATTTTGATTTTTGAATACTAAATTTTACCTGTATTTTAGAATCTGCAAACCGATTTGTTTTGGCAGCTCTATCAACACCTACCTCCAAAAAATTTTCTAATATTTTTTCAATGGAATCCAAATTTGACCTTGACTACACATATATAAAAAAGAAATGATTTAGAAATTTTCACAAATGGACTCACTGGAAGATTTTAAAAAATACATTTCATGATTGTTGCAATAATTTACAACATGATCAAAACTTTTCAAAAAATGGCATTATGTAATGAAACAATATGAAATTCATGTTCAAATACAACTCTATATAAAACTATATTTACATTGGGCAGCCACTTTCAAAATTTGCTTTTAACCCAGCAAATAACTCATTTCATTAACTATTCAAATAATTGTATTTTTCATGTAGAACAAATGTATAACAAACAATTGACTTTAAACTTGCTGCATTCACTAAAACAAGCAATCAAACACCCCAAAAAATGTAGTTGAGAACTACGATAAGTCAAATAAATCTTTGGTACTAAATAATAATATAGTACCTCTTTTTTGTGAACATGGAAAAACTTTTCAATCTTTGATATAAACTGCAAACACCAAACAAAATCATCATTTGAAGCAATATATTTTTTAGTATATGGCATCTTATTTGATACAAACTGCACAATATGTTGTAAAGCTCTTGCTAGTTCATTTCTTGGGTTTGCAAATTGCAAATTTTCAGAAAACCTGGGAAACAATTATGCAACAAATTGTATTTTGCACCTACCGCTGCCGGTATTTGATTTCTAAAATTGATAAACATTTGAAATATATACAAGAAACCCACCCTTTTTTGTGATAATTTTTAATTTTTATAAATATTTAGTATTTTATTTATTTCTCTATCAAACTGTTCAAATTCCACTGTCCCCACGCACTATAATATAAATATTTATTAAAATTCATAATTTAAACTTATTCATTGTCTGAATAATTGAAAAATCGATTACAGGAACTTACTAACACTTCCACATGTCCAATATGATCTGCTCTAAAAATTAAATTCAACCCTAAGGTATAGAACATGAGCTTCATGACTTCAGTAGCCATTTTGAAAAGATCATTTTTTAAGAGTCAAGTTTTACAATCAAATTTGACTTTAAAGAAATCATTAACACAGGAAGAAAATTAAGTTTTAAAATAATATAAAAAATATGAATATGCTTATTTGAAGTATCATGAATTTACTTTTGATCATCGTTCAGCTTGGTCAGTTTTTGAATTCTCTGTATCACATAGTTTGTAAAAGAGTACTCCTCAAGTTTCTAAAAAAAAAATGCATATGTCTATGGTATTTATAAGAAGTAAAAAAATTTTATTCAACAGATTGAAAATATAAGTCATACAAATTGATATTTATGTCTAAATAGCCATTTAAATTACAAACAATGTATAATGTTTACATGGAATAAATAACAAAATATTTACTATATCCTTTTTTGAATACATGTCCAAGCACCGATTCAACACAACATCAATAGGAAAAGAATCTGAAACAGCCTTTTGATTAGTATCTGCTATTAGCTGCAGCATTACTTCTGTCTGGAGCATAAAAGCAAAACTGCCTATAATCCATGGTTCTGTTGTTGATATGTTTATGATATCTGGAATCATTGCCTTCAGTGACCTGAATACAATTGATCATATTGACAAGAAAATAGGAAAAATTATAAAAAGTAAAATTAAAATAAAAACCGGTGAGAAATCCTACTTTTGCATCTCAAGTTGACAAAGTTTCTTCCATACGTTCATCCAATTAAACTTTCGTAATATAGGCAATGCGCACAAACATGAAAGTTGTTTGTTTTTTACATTTGAATTCCCATTCACAAATTTCCAATATAGTGGTAAAGTCAATAACCAATCAGTTGATGGATACTCTACAAGCTGCTTGAACATTTCATGCATAGATGCAATGATGTATGATAAACGAAAACTGAAAAATAAAACATCTTATTTTTTTGTAAAGCAACATAAATTATGCAGGACTGCATGAATTCAATAGAATTAGAAGCAAGCAGCAGTTAATATTTTTCATAACAATGCCATTATATAATTTTAAAAAAAGTATAGTAATGGATCAATACCTTCAATACCATACAAACACCTATTCACCATAAGGCCATATTTACTTAAGAGTATTGGGGTAAAATTTAACAAATAGCTAATACTATATCCTATAAAAAAAATTTTGATAAATCATAAGGGGAGAAGTTAGCTATATTTGCCATGTTACGCTTTTCTTATTAAATAAGAAATTATATATTGTACTATATTCTACTTATATTTAATCAGTAAACTGGTTGTTACTCTTGCTTCATTAATTAAAGCCTTTTATTAATAAGAATTAAAAAATCTATGACACAAAAGTTAGAGATATGCCATTATAATGATAGCTTACCTGCATGAGGTATCTGCTTTTGATATATTACTGTGGAGTCCTTCTAGATCACTTTCATCTAATCCACCTGATTGCAATGATGCAAACAAAGTAATTAGAAGATCCTGTGTTTGAATTTTATGATTCGCTTGATGTAAGGCAACAATTACCTTCAGTACCACTAGTATACGGTTAAAAGCATTAACTTTTGAAGATAACTTGTCAAAGGACTTAGTCCAGGAGGATAGCAATTTTTCAAATACCTGTAACACAGTGACAAATAGTCAAAATATGATGTATAAATCATACAAGTTTGCAATAAAACCTCAACACATCATCAAAATAAAATCAATTTGTTATTTAAAAGGAATGATAACAAAAATTAAAATGATTATTTGGCTTCTGCGAGACTGCGTATCCTTCTTCTATGCTTTTGTGCCGGTGGATCCATAAGCATATATTGCAAGGATGCTTTATCAAGAGTAAAGATAACTATCCTAAGTGATTCAAGGGTCTTGCTGCACACTAACACAAATACATTTCTGTAACGTATCGTCTGACCAAGGTCAGACTCATTCAGACCTACATAGTCCAACTACAACAGTTATGCAGTTACATGCATATTTAAACAATCCGTGTAAAATTATGGGAGTTTCGCATGTTGAATAATCAATAAAATCGGGAATTCTTGATTAATAACAGCTAAGGGGAGGGGGACTAAAATGAAAAGTCATTGATGAGATCTCTTTGTTTTATGTTTAACAATTAAAGTCAAAATTAAACAATAGTGCTTTGTGTTACTCAGTATTGGATAATGCAGACGAGAAAAGTTGACTATGTGCCAAATATAATATAGTGATATTTTGTCTGTCATTAGCATGTCTGGCCATGCATGATCCAATTCTGAGAGAAAAAATATTAGGTACAAGAATTGATTAAAACAATGAATGAAAGATTTGTGATTGGCCTAGACTTCCTTAATATGCATCCCTTGTGGCTCATGTGTCCCGAAGAGATGAATGAAATGAGTGTTCTTGTTTTTTCGATAGATGTGGTCATAAAATAGTTTTTCAATGCCAATGACACTGAAATCTTTAAGTAAATGTCCCGATTGACTGAAATGGGTGCCAACAACCAGATCTTTGTTTTGGGTTTTTATACTCCTTTATACTTCAGGTATTCGGTATTTTAAATGTCTTCTCGTTCCTCCTATATATTGCATGCCACACTTTTTGCAGCTTATCAGGTAGATTACATTTTCCGAGTTGCATGTAACATTTCGAAAAATCATCATTTCTGTAGTCTTGTGTTTGTTTGTTGCAATTTTCCTTTCTTCGGAATGCTGGCAAGTACCTGCATGATTTTCTGCCACATTTGAAAAATCTGGATTCTTTTTGGCGGGAGTTCCTGTTGTCACTTTCTCTCTGACTAATTTGTCTCTTAGCGTGGAGAATTTACCATAAGCTAATCTTGGTGGTTTTGGGAAAATTTCTTTTAGTCTCTCGTTGTTGTACAAAATGTATTGGTAATCTAAAAAGATTTTTCGAATATTTGGTTGGGTCGGGTGATAGCTTGTAATGAAGGGAAGGGAAAGGGAAGGGAAGCAAAGCTTTTTTGGTTTCAGTTTTTGGGGTTGAAAGAAGTTTTCTATTAGATTCTTTTGCAGATTGTATTGCATTGTCAACCAAATTTTCTTTGTAGTTTCTCTTTGTGAGGTATGTTATCATTTTTTTTGCATGTTTATCAAAAAACTCTCAAAAAACTCAGGCTCTTCTTATTCTGATGAATAGACTTTTTGGAATATTTTTCGTGAAGTGTTTAGGGTGGCAGGACGATGGCAAAAGATACTGGTGCGAGTCAGTTTCTTTGCTGAAAATTTCCCTTTCCAATTTGTCGTTAATAATATGAACCTTAACATCCAAAAACGTATTACAGTTTGGTGAGCCTTCGAAGGAAAATTTTATTGTTGGACGTGAAGAATTTGCTCAGGTAACAAATTCTGATAGTTTCTCTTTGCCATGTGTCCATATAAGAAAACAATAATCAATGAAGCGGCAATAGTACTGTGGTTTCAAAGGGGTTTTGTCTAATAATTTGAATTCCAGGTTTGTCATGAAAATGTTTGCATATTTGGGTGCCAATTTTGTTTCCATCGCCATTCTCTGAATTTGAAGAATATGTTTCTCGTCAAAAATGAAGTTGTTGTTTGTCAGGATTAAGTTGGCTGCTTTTGCTATCCAGGGGATTTCTTGTTTGTCTTCACTGAATCTGTAGAGGTATTTTCCATTGCTTCTATGCCCTCATTGTGGGAGATGTTTGTATAGAGAGAGACTACATCCATACTAACTAGTAAAGACTCCTGTTCTATTGTTTTGATTTTTTGTAAATGATTTAAGCAAACCATGCTGTCTTGAATATATGAGGGTATAACTCTTTTGCACATGAGCGGAGTCAGTTTATAATCTACATAGGCCGAAAGTTTTACTGTCGCTGTGCCATTTGTTGATATTATGGGAAGGCTAGGGTGATTTTCTTTGTGTATCTTGGGCTGAAAACGTAGGCAACCTGATTAGGGGTCTTTTGGAAGGATTGATTTAGCTAATTTATCGTCTATCACTCCAGCTTCCCTCATTTTTGAGCATAGATTAATAACATCATTTCCAATTTGTCTTGACTTATCTTTCGGCAGTAGTCGGTACACCGATTTGTCATTTAATTGACGCATCCCCTCAGCGGCATAGTCATTTCGGGATAGAATGCGAATATCTCCTTCTTCATCGGCCAGAACTATAATGATATCTTGTGCTGCCCGTCCTTCGAGTTCTTTTAGTGCCACACTTTCATCTTTATTTAAATTTGGATAAGAATGTTTTTCAGAGGTGGAAAAAAATTTCCCTTAATCTATAATTCCTGATAGTTCTGTCGACATCTGCATGTAGCTGGAATTTGTCAAATCTTTCTGGAGTGGGACTGAAGCCGATTTGTCCTTTCTCAAGGAAGCTAATTTGTTATTCGGTTGAGGGAATATTTGACAGGTATTTTAGATGGCGCTCTGGCGGTCATTCTTTTTTTCGTCGCCCCTTATTTTTGCTGAATTTATTATCTTTTCTTTTTGATTCAGACATATTCCTACGTTCTGGGTCTGAATTTTTGAAATTGTTTTCTCCTTGAGCTGACTTTTGCTTCTTCGTTCCGGTTCTGTCAAAATTTTCGTTCAATTTTTTGTTGGACATGCAGATCATTGAACGAATTGTATTCAGAGTATTTGAGTCTAGTTTAGTTTCTAACCGCTTTTCCATTTATATTCTGTGTGTAGTTACGTTTCTCAGTCTTCTTTGAGAGCGTGTCTGGTTAGTTGCTTTGAAAATTCTTTGTGCAAATTATGCCATTTTTCTTTGTTCTGCACTGGAACTGGACACGAAAGGAAGGAAAGGTATTAGACCTTTTGGAAATGTATTTGTAGAGACAAACTTTTCTAGGCTCATTTTATGGTGTTGTAATCTGATCTCATTAGAGGCAATTTTCTTCAGAATATTAAAGTCCTTTCTGTGATGTTTGTAAATGCAGTTCGTGTTGTAGTTGATGAGTCGCACTGATTATTTAGTTTCTGCAAGACTAACTACTTATCCTTCTTCTATGCTTTTGTGCCGGTGGATCCGTATGCATATATTGCATCCAACCATCAAATTTACCTTCGAATGCTCACCAAACCGTATTACGTTTTTGGATGTTAAGGTTCATATTATTAATGACAAATTGGAAACGGAAATTTTCAGCAAAGAAACCGACTCACACCAGTATCTTTCGCCATCGTCCTGCCACCCTAAACATGTCAGGAAAAATATTGCAAAAAGTCTATTCATCATAATAAGAAGGGCCTGTTCAACAAATGAGTTTTTTGATAAACATGCAAAAATACTGAAAACATACCTCACGAAGAGAAACTACAAGGAAAATTTAGTTGACGATGCAATACAATCTGAAAAAGAACTTAATAGAAAACTTCTTTTAACCCCAAAATTGAAACCAAAAAAGAAACTCTGCGTCGCTTCATCACAAGCTATCACCAGACCCAACCAAATATTCGAAAAATCTTTTCAGATTACCAATACATTTTGAACAACAACTAAAGACTAAAATTTTTCCCAAAACCACTAAGATTAGCTTGTAAATGCCCCACGCTAAGAGACAAATTAGTCAGAGCAAAATTGAAAACAGAAACTCCTGCCAAAAAAAATCCAGGCTTTTTCAAATGTGGCAGAAAATCATGCAGTACTTGCCAACATTCCGAATTGCAACAAACAAACACAAGACTGCAGAAATAAGGATTTGTCAAAAAGTTGCAACTGGAAAAATGTAATCTACCTGATGAGCTGCAAAAAGTGTGACATGCAATTTATAGGAGAAACGGGAAGACATTTAAAATACTGAATAACTGAACATATTAGAAGTATAAAAACCCAAAACAAAGATCTGGTTGTTGCCGCCCATTTCAGTCAACCGGGACATTTGCTTGAAGATTTCAGAGTCAATGGCATAGAAAAACTATTTCATGACCACATCCATCCAAAAATTCTTGTACCTAATATTTTTTTCTCAGAATTGGATCATGCATGGACATGCTAATAACAGACAAAATATCACTATATTACATTTTACACACAGACAACTTTTCTCGTCTGCATTATTCAATACTGAGAAACACAATAACACACAACACTATTGTTTAATTTGGACTTTAATTGTTAAACATAAAACAAAGAGATCTCATCAATGACCTTTCATTTCAGTCACCCGCTGTTATTAATCAAGGATTCGCAGATTTTATTGATTATTTAACATGCAGTAACTCCCATAATTTTATACTGATTGTTTAAATATGCATGTAACTGCTTTCCTTGTTATAGTTCAGTGGTTCCCAGAGATTTATTTTCGCGACTCCAATTTTCATAAAATCGAAGCCTACAGATACTCGCGACCCAACAATGAGAAATGTTGAGCAACTTCAAAAATCAGTATATATATATATATCAGTTCAATTATCTCAATGGGAACAATGTACCTGTATATAGACGTGGACGTTGACAATGAACATTGACCCAAAAATAAATGAACGAGTCTGGAAACGGGAAGAAACCTCGTATGAAAACCATGATGTAAAAATCTCTTACATCAAAATTAGTCTTGATAAAATGTGGTAGATTGTAAGGAAGCATACGATACTTCGGAAATAGTAAGATTGTTTCTAAATAGAAATAGTAAGTTGCTTCTGAATATGCATAACTTAAAAATCTTAGTATTTAGTATATTCCAACAGTGCTCCGCGGTGTGGCGCATCGTGCTAAGCATTACGAATACGCTCAACACCTTCTCTGATTATTCTGCAAGGGTTTGCATGTTTGAATCGTGGGAATTTATTAAGTCTGTGCAAGGGTTGCTGGACTACTTGGTTTGTTTACGTTTACGTCCATGTTTCCGAAAATGGATAACTGGCTAACTAATCCCATAGTCGAGCTGGACTGGTAATCGAATCGTGGGAATTTATTAAGTCTGTGCAAGGGTTGCTGGACTACTTGGTTTGTTTACATTTACGTCCATGTTTCCGAAAATGGACAACTGGCTAACTAATCCCATATCCGAGCTGGACTGGTAATCGGACGAGGCCGTGGTTCACCATAAGATGTTTTATTAGATTTTCTGTTTTACATCATTATATTTAGTTTGATGTTAACATATTACAGACTGTTCCATTATTAATTTGAAAGTAAAACAGAGCATGAAAGTAAAATAGAAAAAAACATGTACGGAATCACATCTTTCAAGTTCCTTTTATTACGCCAGAACTAAACTTTTATTACGCCAGAACTAAACTGTGGTTTAGTGTTTGACTGCTCAGAACGCGTCGAAATTATGTATGAAACCTCTAAATACGTAATATTACAATAAAAAAATGTTCACGTAGATGTGGAGGCGATGTGGACAGGATACCTAGCCTACTCGTAGATTTAAGATACACATGCGCGAATTAACAAAGCGTTTTCGCAACTGATCGAAACATAAAATGTAATTACTTGGTCAAGACACCGCCTGGCAATCAATGTCATACATGTCAAACAAATAATTAAAGGCCAATCGCTAAATAGAGCAACTTTGCTTTGTATATTCGCTAACCAGGAGGCTAGACCAGAGGTGGGCAAGGTTTTTGAACCAAGGGCCAAAAATTTTGCTCACCTAGATTAGCGGGCCATGTAAGTGTGACGTATAAAATTACATTTCATGAACAATATTTACATTGTTACAAAAGCAAAGGTAGAATATAATAGGCCTCGAGCCGAAACTAAATTTACTCGCGATATCAACAAATTCCTTGAGCTATTTTTAGCAAAAACAACAAAATTTGGTTTCAGTTTGGTTGTGGCAGTATCAGGCATGCCAGATTGAATTATCCAATGGGCCGGATTTGGCCCGCGGACCATACTTTGCCTGTCTTTACTAGACTGATGAAAAAATAACAAACCAACATAATCCCCCGCAGCCTGGCAAAAAATCCGATTCGTACCAGTCGGTCACCAACTACTAATTCGGATAGAATATGATAAAAAAAGGCTATAAAAAAGAAAATTATATTGGAGCTCGCAACACTGTCACCCAATTACATTTATTATTATCAGTACCTGTTGACCAGCTGGGAAAGGCACCATTCGGACAATAAACGGTCGAGATATTGCTGAAAAGTCCGAAGTTAGGCACTTTCACTGGACCCGCCGACCAACACAAATTTGTGAGCATGTTTGACAGGAATTAGGCAAACCCGGAAAATCTTCACGCAACCCCTTCCGGGGCGGCGATCCACAGTTTGGGAACCACTGTTATAGTTGAACTATGTATGTCTGAAGAAGTCTGACCTTGGTCAGACGAAACGTTACAGAAATATATTTGTGTTAGTGTGCAGCAAGACTCTTGAATCACTTAGAACAATTATAATATTGCAACAATTTAAAGTAATTTATCTAGCATATGCATGGCTGTACAAACTAACCATACTGCAAATAAAATAAATATTGTAAACATATATTTCACATACTTGTGGTTTTGGTTTAAGGTTTGAATAGGCATAATAATGACCCCAACTTTCCAAAAACCAACCAGATTGTACAGTATCAAGCCACACAGAAAGCTCTGTTTCAAAGCTATCAGAATCTACATCTGGAAGAAACTTCTTCAATCCATCACACCAGTAATCATTCCATTGGTTATGTTGTGGATATGAAAATGCACTAACATTCAGCACAATTTTTCCTTAATTGATAATAGAAGGAGGTCATGTATCCATTGCAATAGAAACAAATTTTGAAACATTTTAGTGAGCGCAGGTTTTCATTTTGATATTAGTATTACAGTAACTCAAAAAAGGCCCCTGGCTGGCACAACTCAAGGGCTATATTGCGGGTATATAGTGTGATTATGAGCAAAGTCTTTGATCTCGACGATTATAGTTTTGAATTATCTCTTACAATGTACATTTGCTTTCTTCCCCTGCACAACATACCAAACTGATTGAATAGCAATAAAAACTTGTGATAGCAAGTTGGAGATTGTGCCATTATCCTGTTTACAACTTTAGGAACATCATGCGATAAATGGGATTAGTTTACCAGATAACTTTAAAACAGAAAACATTTTTGAACGATGTGTCATCAGTGAGACAGATGACTATTTAATACAGTGGAAACTCTACAAATGAACGGCTCTGAATACAAAAAATTCAACTTACAAAAATTCTTTACTTAAAAATATTGCTTCGAGTAACATAAGATTTTCTATGTACGAAAGGCCAAACACCGAAAACTCAAATATGTGTGAAGTGATATTTGTTTATTTTAGGTCAATTTATTTAATCCAAATTTAATATTAGATTATAGCAACCTTCCAATATTATTTTTTCGTGTTTAGGAGAATAGCGAATATGGCGAACATATCCGAGTGCCGCCATCCACGTTTCCATTTTAAAACATTTTACAATTATTTCATTTTTTATCGCAATCGAACGCAGTTAGCATTAAATGATTTCAAAATGCGCCGACTTGAGTGCTCATAGGACGTCGAAGACGTTTCCGATGGAAAATATGATTATAATTATAACTGTACATTTGAATTTAGTCGAGATAGTTAGTACGACTTCAGCAATAAATCTGGAAGCAAATTGTGTCCTAATCTTGTTTTCCGGTCTAAATTCTCCATCATTGGCAAATGGAAATTTGGCGACGGATTCACTCATTTGATTATGACGATGGTAAACAAAGGTACACAAACATATGGTATACGTTCGTAATTTTTATTCATTATTTTTCTGTTCTTTCTTCTTTCCACGTGTACCTTTTCTTTTAATTATGCAGTAATCTAATTCTAATGTGTATGTCTCAAAGGATTTATTTATAACCATGATTTTATTGATACAAATATTATGTCCGAGTTTTGTGTGGGTTTGGAACGGATTAGGGCATTTACAGGTAAAATGCATCCCTACTTATGGAATCTCCCACTCCCACGGGACTCCAGTTCCAGAACGAATTAATTTCATAGGTGGAGTTTCTACTGAACTGCAAAAAACGAAACAATAATATCAAGAAACAGAGGAGCCAACAGAATTCAAAGGTATTAATACACTAATACTGCCATTTAAAAACACAGGCTGATGACTTCAGTTTTAGATTGTCTTTTCATAATTTATATCTAATACCCAACAAAAAAAATTCTGCTTTTTTTGTTCAACTTACAATTGGTACCTATTTTGCTAAGCTGGATTTTCTGATATTTTGTTGAAAAAAACAAAATCTAGAAATTGCCTATATGCATGCAAGACTTGCTCAGTCCAAGTCAATGCCAAATATCAAAAGTTTTCTGAGGGAAGGACAAGGACACCCTTCAGGCTGAATATATAATTTAAAGAAAATGTGATTTGTTCCATCTTATTGTTTGCAATGCATTCATTCATTTACATACATTTGTTTGCATTTTGGTATTAAACAGATTGAAAAAACGACTCTTAGAAACCTGATAACCCAAAACTAGATCAGGGTGCCGCAAATATTAGGAATCTTGGAAAAGGGACACAGGTCATAAAAGATTGAGAACTGGGATTGGTAGCATTTCATTTCGTAAAAAAATATCACAAACCTTTCTTCAATTTGGAGCATCTGTTGTGGTCCCAATACCCTGGTAGTATCTCCCAATGTTTTTTACCTCCAGCATTATCCACATACAAGAATTTATACAAAATCTCATAACGATTTTCCAAACATGGAACATCAAAGGAAAAGTATCCCTTGCTGTACAAGAAATGTTAAAAATGTCCACTTTAACTTATCCATGCTTTATACAACATCTGCCAAGTTTTGACATCTTTTAAGGGTCATCTATTGAGTCCTAGTGATAGTTGAGTTGTTAGGATTAGACAATATATATATACATAATTCATTAGAACTTTGCATTATTTCTTCTTTAATTTCGAAAAAATAACTCGGTCTGTGACACAGATAGAAATACAAATTAACAAAAAGAGTCAAAATAGAAGAACTATTCATGAGTGCATCAATACCATGTGTTCTTAATCTACTGACCTTTTATTATACAACATTTCATAGAGGTCCCATTCTCCGAAATAGTTTGTTGCAACACACATTGCTTTATTCTTTTGATCAGATACAGTTGAATGAAATACAGTTCGCAACTGAATGTGGTCTTTGTGTATAGTAAATAAATCAATATGTTATTAAAGAATTTATAACCCGAATTCCAAAGCCAAAAAGTAAATGACATGCAAATATAGGACTATTGTTTTTATTTGTTTACCAAGATTTTGTAGATGTATATTTCACATGTACTAATTTATTGCTTAGTGAATTTATCCCAAACTCATGTTTATGTAATCAAATTCATGTAGATGAAATGTGTACTAAATTGTATGGTGTATGCGTATACACTAATACATGATACGCTCATTTCAAATATATCCTTAAAAAATTGGCAACTTATTATAACTAAAGAACAATGTATGTGTGTTTATATCCTCATTGTGTATATATTCTAATACTGTATTGTATTTTTACATATTAAAAATGTAGGATGGGTCGGGTAACAAACTCTGAGTGAAGGTTAAAAGTTGTACCATAGAAACTGAAATATCACACAGTAATATTATTATTCTTACCAGTAACAGAATTAGAATCATCTGATACATATTGTTTCGGATTGACATCAGCCATCCTGTCATCCTTCATTTGCGAATTTTCATGCATGGTGTCTTGTCTGGATTCTATAAATGAGTAAATAGTATGACAACTGACAGCAGTGTTTCACTTACTGCTTTATTAGTTTTTATGGTTTGTTTGTTATTATTCTGAGTAAAATATATTCGGCATACTGGGGGTAATGAAAGTATAATAAAGTTGAATCGTTTTTTAAAAATAACATTTAATATTTAATAATAATATTTAATCCAAATTTGTAATAAACATGCAGAATATATGGAAGAAATTACAAAATAAATTTTAAATAAGGTGAATATTTCAGTAACTGAAGCATCAGATAAAGTGAAAATTCTGGAACAGGGAAATCGAATAAATCAAAGCTCAAAATTAAGTATAAAGCTCTCTCGGATGATGCCTACACACTTTAATAATACATCCATAATAGTGGAATAATAATAGCGTTGTGTCATGAACTCCGGGAATAGACCATGTAAGTAGATAATCAATATGTATTACAGAAAACACACAGTAATCGACTTGAGCATTAACTGAGAAAACAGAAAACTAAGGTCACTCATGCATGAAACAATAAGTGCCAGAGTTCAACTTTTAATAAATCCAGATCTGAATAAAATTCACTTTAATGTCATAATGTCTTATATGTCAAGTGTTTGGTTTAGGAAGTAATGAATTTATGTAATAATAAATATTTTACAAAAATTCAAACCAATACTTTTGTGGAATTTAATATTTTAGGTATCAAACTAATCTGAGTTATTTTATAGTTTTTGGGAATAAATACCTAAAATTGTTTTTCCATCTAAATGTTGTTTTTTGGTGGAAGTTTTCTCCATTTTATCACTCAGACTCAGGTTCTGATTATTTGCAACTTCTGTAGACCCTTGAAAATAGATATCACTGTGTCAGTAGATGATGATTTTTAAAGTCGAGTCATCTAAAAAAAATGCTCAGCAGTAACACTATTTTGACTTGTTACCAAAGTAAATTGAAATTAAACTCATTGTTTCATTTGAATTGAAAAAGATAATAAAATTCATTGAAATAAGATTTAGCGTGTCTATTGATACTGTTTTGGAAAATCGTAATTGTACTAGCAGGTTGCAAGAATAACCCAAAATAGGCCATGATAAAAGTTAGTTCAATGTTGCCATTACCTGAATAAATTTTAATTTGACGTTTGAAATAAGGTGATTTAATATGAGATGAAATTTCAAGCCTTATTGTCAATTTAACTTGTATTCATCCATTACATTGTTGCCCACACGATCTAATATGTCTCGGACTCTATTTGGTTCCTTCGAAACGAAATAAAGAAACTTCATTTGAGACCCCGGATTGCAGTGACTCGAATTGAATTGGGAGTAGAACACAAATTTGCTAAGTTTTAAATTTGGCATGACTCATAACTCATGATTGAAAGATGTTGTTTATTCAATACAGCAATAGCCCGTCACACCAATATTTTCTGTATTCTGATTCTTTTGCTCTTTATTTTCTTTTCTTCCTTCCACATTAGATGGAGTTCCTAAAATAAATAACATTGCATTATCTTGACCAGGGGTGTCAAACTTGCGGCCCGCGGGCCGCATGCGGCCCCAGAGAACTTCCAATGCGGCCCGCAAACACTCAACAATAATTGTGTTGTTTTGTGAGTTTTTTTTTTCTAAATTTAATACGTTTTTTTACATCTTTCGAAGTGAAGTTGCTAAAAGTAATTTGGAAAATTGAATTTTTTTTGTTTTCAATTTGGACCGATTATGGATACACCTCAAAGCTAGCAAAAGAATAATTGTGAAACACTTCAGGGATTAAATAAAACGCAAAGTACATGAAGAAGATGGCATTTTTGAAAAAAAAATGGGAGTTGCAATAACTCTGCATTTTTCAAAATTCTAAGGCACATGCACACATCTATACATGAAATAATAAACATAATATTTTTGCATTAGGCCTACTGAACCTAATCAAATATTCTCAACGATCCAAATGAACCGATGATCACGTGACCTCGTTAATTAGAGTCGGTAATGTAAAATCATTTCAGCCTGATATTAGTAAGGACATATGTAATAAAAAAACATTGTCTGTAGTATTTTTGTAAATTTTAGGTCTATATATTTAAATTAAGTCATTTTTAGTTTAAGTATTATTGTTTCCTTATCAAATGTTTCATTTTGTCAAAATATTTTTTTGGTAGTTGTACATGAAAATTTATGATTTTTTGCAATAACTACAGTAAATTGCAATAATAGTGAAATGCAAAAACTAATATGTAAATGGCATTTAAAATTTAAGAAAACAACAACTTCATTCAACTGTTTGATTACATCCCAATATATGTCACAAACTATACCTATCTAAAAATATGCTTCAAGTATACATTATCAAAACATATCAAAAACTGTTTGTGGCTCTTTTCACAATTCCGAAAATGCAATGCGGCCCTGGAACGCCCACGAGTTTGACACCCCTGATCTTGACTATTATGAGTTTTGAGATTTTTTTTAAAAATATCAGAACAGATCACCTTAAAAGAAGAAATAATGACTCCTTCTAATTTAAAAACATAAGAAAGCAAACATAGTTGAAAGTAGTAGTTCTTATGTCAATATGTCACAAGAAGACATAAGAATAGACCAGTGTTTTGCAACATGTGGTTCGCGCCAACAAATTGCCATCCTCTTGGGTCACTAATAATGTGTGCATTTTTCATAGGAATAATTTTGTTTTAATCGCTGATTATTTTTTTGTCAGCAATCTAGGAATTCTGAAATTTTTGCATTCCTCACGACTATCTGTCAATACATGTCTGTATTTGGCCAAATGACTGATACTAACTGACAGACTTTTCTCTGATCAGCTCATATATCCCCCTTTCTAACATAAAGTGAAATAATGTATTATCATTTTTGACTTGATATCAGTATTTTTGTGATGCCTACAAAAATATGTTGAAATCAAAATATGCATTACACTCATTTACACGTTCAATGGATATCATGAACACTAAAAATATAACAATAAAGTCATGATAAACTTAGTTTTTGGAGTTTTGTGAAATGTATCTTTAGCAATCCTATCAACTCTCCATGAAGACTATTTGAGTTGAATTGCAAAAAGTATAAATAAGGAGAATCTCTGTTTCATAGATACTATATATTTAATAGGTCTTGTTAACCATATGTTTCTGCCAATTACACTTACCTTCACGAGTTTTTAATTCATCCAACTTTTTAGATTGTTTTCTCTTTTTTCTTGTCTGCATATATTCATTCAATTCTAGGAAAATACAAAATTTTATTTATTAATGATTCCAATACAATTGGGACAAAATCTACACCTTTAACAATGCATACCACTATGGCCTATTCAAAATTGATAGCTATATGAATGATATTACCAATTACATTCTGAAGAGAATCATTGGACCACGGCAACTTTGGAATTTAATATGATATAAGATCTTCACATCCACCTTTGATTTTTTTGCAATGCCCAAATTGCCATTCAATCATCAAAATTATAAAAACACTGGTCAAAGTTTACTAGAGCCTAGCAATTCAAGAGCATAGCTTCACACCAATAAAAATCACTATCGCTGTGGTTCCCAACCTTTTTTTCGAGTACCCCAAATGCCTTAAAAAATAAATTTTGTAGAATCTTGCCACCCAAGGATATGCTCAAATTCGAGAAGCAATGTAGTGCTTTTCTTGTCACAAAATTAGCTTACTAATATAAAACAGCTTTTTTACTTAAAATTTATTTTCCCAAAAAGTAACTCAAAGTGAAAAAGCTGCGCTTATCTGCCATAATAGGTTTTGAGGTCATGACGTGGCTCTCAAAAACAGTAGCTGCCAAGTTTATACACTGTGTTAGACGCACATCTATATACAATTACTATTGAGCATTACTTCACTACAAATATAAAATAATCCATAAAATTTACTAGCAAATAAAGTCAGTAACTAGGTTTTTGTTGAAAAAACAAGCAACCCAGGAAATTTTTCCGATGACCCAATTTTGTGTCTCGACCCATAGGTTGTGAAACACTGCACCAGCCTGAAGTCATAAAAGAAGAACAATGATTAAGTCTTGCATAAACCCCAACTCCTACATATATTAGTCAATTTATATGCTTATATTTGTGAAAAACACATACTCTGATTTGTTTTCTGATTTTCTTGATCTCTTTCGACACTCTTTTCTTCCGTCCCAACTTCTATAAACAAAAATACAAATTATTCCATAAAAGTTTGTGTAGTGTGTATTTATTTTTTTTTCATTCAAGATAAAGATATTACATAATGATCATTGATGAAAAAGTTTGATTGGTGATTTGAGTTTGCATTAATGTGACAACGTATTATTATTTGTTAAATCTTAGTGCGACGTGTTCTTGAAAATAATACTGTTGGCAATTGTACACATCACACTTGTGACAACCCCTATTTTAAAATTTAAAGCATCATTATTTGATCTTACTGATTTTGCATATTGATGCTCAAGACACTGATGACGATGAAGAACTGTCAATCTGTCTTTTGGTATCCAGTTAGGATAGGCTACCAGCTGCAGCAATACAGCTGTCATTGTTTTAGTCATATTTCTAGAGTTTAAGGAGCTTTTATGTCTGTAAAATTGTTGCTAAGTTCCTAAGTAGAAAATGAAGTCTGTCTGTTTGTATTGAGATTGCTAGTTAATAAATAAGATTAAAATAGCATTAATTGAAGTGAATTTGGATAAGAAGGTTGACATCAGGAAATATCAGAAGATATTTCTAGCTGGAAAAAACTCTTATAGACATGTTCGGGAACACCATTGAAAATGACCATTTTTCATTAATATATGCCTATAGCAAAAAGCAAATCGAAGTATTTTCATGTATAATATTTATTTTACTTCAAGTTTAGAATATATTATGTGAATTTCATAAAATATTACCTGTAAACATCTCAAATCGAAGTTAGCAGGTTATATTTGTGTTTGAGGTTAAGCATAGATGCAAGATGATGAATGATTATAATATTGTACACTGGCAGAGATTGCACAGTATTATCAATGCCCTTGTGAATACAAATCAGACGGTCTTACTACTTACTGAATACAGCGCGAAACACCGCAAAGAGCGCAAAACAGAGGGAAACAGCGCAAAACAGTGTGGAAACAGCGCAAAACAGAGGAAAACAGCGCAAAACAGCGCAAAACAGAGGGAAACAGTGTGAAGCAGAAAAGATTTTGCAATGAGTTCGGGGCACCTTGTTTTGAGTTGGAGTACCACGGCAGCAAATTAAAAACACAAACCAACAAATGTAGCCAGTAATGCTGTAATGGCAGGTCTGCCCCTGCTGGTGACACATTTTGGGTACCATAATTTAGGACATTTTCCATATGGATATGGTTGGCTTTAGGGTTAGGGTTAGGTAAAAAGGGACCTCCAGAAGTATGTGCACCAAGATGGCGCACAACCTGAAAATAGTATGAGTTCAGGTTGTGCGACATATTGCTGCACATACTTCTGGAGCACCAAAAAGGTAGATAAAATTTCGCATGATGACCTATAATCCGGTACATAACCTTGTAAATATGCCGGAAATAGCGCCATAAAACCATGGCGAGAGGCGCCGTGGTTCTTTCGTGGCAGGAGGTGGTAATGACTGCGTCTCCTGTTTTGCGCTCTTTTGCACTGTTTCGCGCTCTTTGCGGTGTTTCGCGCTGTATTCAGTAAGTAGTAAGACCCCAAATCAGATCTTACCCTTAGATCTTGGCCTTTTAGAATCCAAAATAGTCTCATCTTTTTTTTTTGATCTCTTCAAATTCTTACTTTTGATATCAACTGTAAGAAAACAGAACTATATCATCAATATTATCAAAATATGACTCATTTTTACACTAAAAATTTACTAAAAAAATTTAATACACATGTACACAGCAAAGGAATTCCTCGGCCCGAACCGTTTGGTTATGGTCATCTTTATTCCAAATCCAGCCTTATAAAATTGACTGGTCAATTATTCCAATACTCAGTCTGAAATGATAACTGAAGAAATGATTTGAATATTTTTTTACTTTGATATTCGCTGTTGCCATGTTTTATGTATCGGTTCTAAAAAAATTATTTTTCAGAATTTTGTCCATGATGGACCAAAATATTGTTCACAATTAACTAATTGATCATAGTGGACTGGTTGCCCATCCCTATTACGAAAATTTCTGAGTGTCATTAAAAGTTATAGGCTAAACATTTTTGCCAAAAACCTCTGATTTGCACAATCCCTTTCTACCTTCAATTTTCTTCAAAAGTGTTGACTAAATTGTTTCAGGGTTTAGGTCAACGTGTATTAGCTTTATTCATGTAATGATTTTTGTACAAGTGCTACACATGGTGTGACCAGAGATTCCCAAAGTGGTCCAGGTGGACCCCCCGGGGGTCATACTAGGAAATGAACGAGCAGTAGGGTGACAAAACCGCCCCAATCTATGAGAGGTGTCTTAGGGTTCTGAATTAAAAAGAGACATAATAAATTATTTGAATATACCGTTCCATATCATGGCTACACAATTAAAGTGCTTTCATCATAGAATATTCAAAATTGGAATCAAAATGAATATGCTAACTTAGTACCCGAACCAATCGCAATGAAAAGCTCAAACTCGACAAGCAAGAGCCACAGACATACTTTCTTGGCAGTCCAAAATTTAATATAATAATAGTACTGACTGCAGTAAAATTAAATAGTTCTATTAGGACAGCAAGTGATATAACTTGTATATCTTCAATAAACATTTGGGAGTCCATATGACTTTGAATATAAACTTGGGGGTCCACAGCGAAAAAAAGTTGGGAAGCCCTGGTGTAGTTGTTACATGCAGTGCGAAAATTACAAGTGTTGCAAGAGATGTAGGTGGTACAAATGATATTGAATAGTTTTGGGGGACGAAACTTCATTAACTGACATTGTCTGATAAAAGCACCCAACTCAGCAATACTGTATAATGAATTTATGATTTTAGCATGCGTTTGTAAACATGTGCCACCCCTTTTTAATCAAATGTGTATGTATGCTTTGCATTTGTTGGGATTCTGCTTGATTTTTGCAGTGTATCAAAATTTCAGAGTGACAACATTGGTTGTGAATTCCCAAAGCCACAATATGATCTATTACTTAACTCTTTGAACTCTGACAGCTCTGAGCGAAGTTACTCGCTCACCCTGAAGGTTCGTGGCGCCATATTGGTAGAACAATAAAATAAGTCTAAATACTATCTATTTGGCACGCTTATAACTTTTTACCAATTATAGCTAGCACGTTGAGTGACATTTCAATCGAAAGGAAATTTTAGCGTGCATTCTGAATGTTTTTTCCATTTCAAAATACATTTTGTCAAAATTAATAAAATTGACTCTAATCGAACAGTGATTTTTCTGCATGTAAGTGAGTTATGGCTCCAAATTTTGTTATTTTGGTACAAAATATACTGCCGATAATTGATGTTCATAAAGAGTTCTTTATAAGCTTTTTGTTGATATTCAAATTATTATTGTGGCTGCCGTATAACCATTTTACGCAGCTACGCAAAAGCCGATCACGTGATTAACGTCATGAAAATGTTGATAAGTACGTTCGAAACGTATTGCGTGACAAAATGCGCAAGATAACTTTCACGACGACGTTCTCATCGGGACATCGGTCGCCGAGTTTCGATATGAAATTAACCCTGTATGGATTGAAGCACCGACGAAACACACGTTCAGAGATATGAGCCAGCGCAATGCGAAAGAGTGGAAATAACATGCCCAGCAGCAGTGAAAGCCTATAATTCATTCATGGGAGGGACTGATAAAATCGACCAGTTGACACGCCTACAAAAGTGCAAGAGGCATTATAAATGGCCAAGACGTTTAGTCATGAAGTTTTTCATGTAGGCGACGTACGATTCCTACGTCCTAATGAATTTTGTCAAACCTCACAAAATGAGAGGAAAAAGAGTATTCACAATCCACAATTTTCTGGAACAACTATTTGAAGATCTTGCTGGAGAAGGCAAGATGTTGACGAAAAAATGCAAGATTTTGCAACCACAAGAAGATTTAACAGATATTAAAAGACTGCAACTAAACGTACGACACAACATATATAAACCGCGAAACGCCTGTTCTAATAATAGATGCGTCGTATGCAGCAAAAGTTTGCCAAAAAAGCCTATCCAGCTGCTAAAGACAAAGACTTGCCGAAACGATGCAAGTGCAAATACTGTAAAGAGTACCTATGCATAGGTAACGAAACCAACAACCACTGGTATGACTGGCACAACAAAGTGCAATATTGGATTTAGAATGTATCTTTTATCTACATAATATTTTCATGTTCTTCATTGTTCCGAGCACAACAAAGTGCAATATTCAATTTAAAAATTTGAGCAAGCAGTTTTTTATGTAGATACATTTTTCATGATCTTCATTGTTCCGTTATTTGCTAATAAAATATCAATCTTGTTTATATTGTGTATATGTAACCACAACTTAATGGGGCTTGAGCGGGAAGTCAAAGCGTAGTGCGAATTTTGAATGCATAGAATCGGGTTAATTGATTACTTTCTGCGGACATTTAAATAATAACATCTCAACGTAACGTTATTGCGGATATCGTCACGCTTTGTTGCATTTCCGTAATATACGTAAAGTTGTGCGTGACGAGACGTAGCCTCGCTTCAATGAGAACGTCATTTTGACGCAGCGTCGTTGTTACCGTAAATCTACAGAAAATCAAACATATTTGGCCATGAAATTTGAATGGTTCATCGTAAAATCGTTTTGGATACGTCTTTAAAAAGCTATTCAAATTCTTTAGATATATTGTCGCTTGTATATTAGGTTATTTAGGCAGGAAATAGTCAATCTTGATATTTAATTTTTGTTTTCATCAAATAATTTTACACACTCTTTTTTCGCCAATTATCCTCAGATAATTGGAAAATATAGCAACAATATATAAAGTGTAGAAAGTTCTATTGACCAGCTTTCATACAGTATAAGACTTACTTAAATATCTATTGTGGTTCTTGAGATATGAGGGAATAAAGTTGATGACTAAAATCTTTATAATACTTCGCAGGTAACTTTTGAAACTAAAATTAATTGAAACTGAAAATCAGAGAGAGTACCCAAAACAGCAGAAACTGCTGATGGGTGATTACATGGCCTGAATCACCACAAAATTATTGTTCAAGTTTTAAAGAGTGCTGCTTTAAGGTTGGTTTTAGGCATATTAATAAGTTCACTGAAATCAGAAGCATTTCAACCACCTGAGACGTTAAATAATATTTCAGCAATCGTTTTTGTAGTTCACTATTTATTAATCAGGCCCCATATTCAAATTAGGCAAATGTGCAACTGTTAGTTTTTTCAGGTTGCATCAACCTACTTGAACTATTTTCTAGAATACCGTAGTTCCCGGCGAATAAGTCGTTTTTCTATACCCAAATTTTTGGCCTGATTTTGGGGGTTCGTCTTATTAGGCGAGTATGCTAATTTTCTTTTTTTTTTGGTGTCGCCCCTATTATTCAATTCGGACCATAAAATACCTTCAGCGTTAGCATCCCATGACGCGAATATGATATATGTATAATACCGGAATTAAGGTAATGTAAAATATATTTAATTCATTTTTTTGACATAAATTTTACTCGGTGGGATATTATCACTGACTCAAGGTTTTTTCCTACCGTGAAATCCTCAAAATAATGAGTGGTAGCATTGCGATAAAGCAGAATAATTGTTGCAGCAACAGCTCAGATATGTTTTTAATATGCGAAAATACAAATCAAAACAACATATAATCGTACATGTTTATGTCCACGAATTGCGTAGGTAATTTGGAGCAGTGATACTATTTATATATATTGTCCCAATCGCAGATTAAATTTACCACAATTAAATCAAGGAAGCAACACAGTTCGTTTTGTGGAGATTTCCAGGTAATGAATATGTATGTTTCATATATACACTTTATATGTATATTTATTTATAAAAACTAAATATAATCAGGTACCGTAGTTTATCTCACATTATTATGTCCGCAGATAGCCGTGTTATATTAGATCGGTAATGTTCTTATATTGTGGAGCAACCTCGAGTTATGTTGAACACGATTAGTTTGAAATTGAAAGACAGTTTGAATTCCCGTAGTTTATATGGATTGAATATTTTGCTACAAAAAAAAGTCATTATAGGCTATTTTACCCAATGTGCAAACGCGGCGACCTCTCAAAAGCCTTTGCATGGTAATCTGAAATTCCGATGTTGGTGCGATTTTACTACCTGTCTTATTGGCAGGTTATATGCAAAAACCCATTTTTTCAGCCTCGTCTGATTTACCATGTATACTTATTCGCCGGAAAATACGGTTTATATATATAGTTGGATTTTTCTCTTTTACCATTGTATTAATTTTTGTTCTGATTCATCACTGCTTTTTTGTGGTTTCTTGACACCGGAATGCCATTCTTGTCTTTACTTGTTGTGTGTTCTCTACTGACTACTATGAAAATTATTGTTTTTATCTTTAATACACTTTGAACAAAGCCAGGAGTTATTCAGACATTGATAAATACCGTAGATGCTCTTTTTAAACATCAAATCTACATCTACATCACAAGTTTGTAATACTCACAGGTTATTCTAGATCTCTTCACAGTAGATGGTTCATTACATTGGTCCAAGTTACTACCTGAGAAACATCAAATGGCAACAATTCAAAAAGATGGTCTGTAACTGCTATTGTTATCAATTGAGATATTTTTTGAATGTTTACAAAAAGTAATGGAAACTTTCTGTGAGAAATAAACAAACTTTTGTCGGCAAATAAAAGTTGAAGCACGTTGAAAACTCCTAATAAAACTATGGTAATGTAAAATGTTCTGCTATCACAAATAGTTTTCACAAAAATAGTTTTATTAAAATTATACAAATGATATAACACATACAAAATAAAAACAAAATTAACTTTTAAAATAAAAAATAGAACTGAAAAAGTGATAAATTGAAACATATTTAGCAATAAAGATACATCGAGTGTGTTCCCAATGACTTATCACGATTGACCACAGCTGTGAATACATTATTTCTTTAATTTTTCTCCAAAACTAAATTAAACAATATGAATGCTAGAATACAAATATTCTTTTGCGTTCAGTTACTGTTCATGACCAAATGCAGATATGAGGTCAGGGTTAGGGTTATCGTAGTAGTGTGTTTGAACTGCTACTCAAAGTCTGTTTATTTATGATTAGGATGGAAATATTGAACAAAGACTCAGTTCATGATTTTGTGATCCACCTCTTGCCTAATGGAATGACCTGTACAATGCAAAGAATCAGAATAAACTGAAGTGAACTAAAGTATCAAACAAATGAAACACTGCTTCATCATGAACTAATACTCAAATTAAAAGACTCAACCCCTGCTTAATAATGAAAAAAAAACTTAAGCAAATTAAGAGACTAGAGACCTTGTCTTAAAGTTCACTACAGTAAATTAATTGACAGTAAAAAATGTCATAAATGAATAAATTCTCATTTTTATTCAGCATAACTTAAAATAATTTCTTTACCCACCAATCTTGGTTTGAAGACTATTCTGGCTTGCACTAGGTTTCGTTTGAATTCCTGAAGATTCTGCATGTCTCTTCAGACTAGCTCGTTTTTTTGTTGAATCTAAATCGACCTGATGAAAACAAATTTAATGTATGTTAGTTGAGAAGTAAGTACTTGCAATTAGAAAATAGAAAACTTCAACAGTCAAAAAAAAAGCAATCACAATAGTCAAACGAGAATATCGGTCAGAGACCGAAGACTTATCGATCGAAAGTTAGAGGATTCCCAAAACAGCACTCTTACTTCATAGTGACACCTTGTGTCCCATCACATATGATGAATGCACATGCAAAATCTGGAGCAGGTTCAATCTCACTTTCGTGAGATATGGCGTGCATCAAACAGACAGACAGATACCTATCAACATACTTACTAAATAAAAACTATAGTACTTTGTTTGCTTTTATTAATGATTGAGTCTGTACTCTAAATTAAAAAATTTTAAATACGATATTTAGTTAACTCACAAGCTTATATCAAACTTCAACAGAAGGAAACAAGATAAACTATTTTGAAGTATCAGCAGTGAGGTCTACAAGGAATAACATCAGAGTAAATAGTTAAAAATAAAAAATGAATCCAGATGTCATACCTCAGGACATATCAAGTGGAATCGTCATAAAATATTCTGATTGATAATAATTAATAATTCATTTTTATAAACCACACAAAATTCAAAACTTACTTGAAAGTTTGGCATATCATGTACAGCCTGTAAGACAGTTTTCTGTTCTTTATTCTCAGCGATTTCATGCAAAGCTGCAAACACTAGTTGTTTTCTAAACTCTTCATCACTGTTTCAAAAAATTATTCAATAAAATGTGATAATAATCAAGTAAAGGCAATTCATTAGAAAATAATAGTAACCTTCAGTTATCATTTGAAAAACTAAACACTTTTCTCTTTTTTACTTACCCCTCCGTAGATAAATTGAGCTCCTTTAAAGTGTCTCGTAATTGATGCAATTGATGCCAATTATTGAAGCAATGCAACAAATCTTCATTTTTATGAGTTATGATGTGAGTTAACAACATTTTTGTGTTGCTATCCACAGGAAAATCTGATATTTAAATAATATTATAAATTTGAATAAAAATAAAACAAAAATATATTTCAAAAATTTTAATAAGCAGGTAAAAAATAGGTTTTTCTGTTGTTCCTAATAACAAATATGATACATTGGGAATTCGAATTTGATGATTGAATATCATGACAAATTAGGATTTTAAACCTTCACATTCCAGTAATTTTTCCAACTCAGGGAGAAATTTTCCTGTTTCCAAAAAATCGATAAGCTTTGATATTTCTTCTCCATATTCATTTTTCTTGATCTCCTCTTTTACTTTCTTGGCTTGACCTGAAAGCAGCTCAAAATTATCCTAGTTGGAAAAAATAGTTTGTTAGCAAAAACCAGCAATAAGTTGAAATAATTGAGCTCAATACGTTTAAATAAAGAAAAGGTTCTTACAACTTTGATAACCAAACACATTCAAACTCACTCACTCACTCACTAAAATTTTCGCATTAAAATTATACATCTTGTTTGTAGTAGTTGGACAGATTGCCTAATTAAGGTTGTTTGACTTAATTTGATATATTTACTCAGAAATTGAACAAAATACCTAGTCTTGCTTTTAGCATGAAATATTAATATAAACATACAAATTCAATCACAAAGTGCAGCGAAGTCATCGGTGTGCATCATCAACTGCAATGGGGCGGGCCATTGTTTTCGACATTGCAGTTCTCAATGTCAAGTGGGAATGTTTATCTATTTCTAACCTTTTGAAATTACTTTTTTTCTCTTCAGAAAATTCACCAACAGCAACTGTTCAGTTGTATCAAAGTATTTATTAAGTATTATATGAAGGCAATGAAGTATAAGCTTGGTTTTATCCTCACTAATTTCCTCCATAATTTTTATTCTAACCCATTTTTATCTTAACTTTAAATAGGAAAGACCGAAATAAAATTTAATTAGTACAAATTTCCTTGGTGTTTTAAATAATATAACTGATCCTCATAGCATTACATAGGTCTGAGCACATGTGGACAAAACTTCTTGTATTTCATGGATGAAAAATGAATGATAAAAAGTTATCTGCTAGCCTTGTGACAGTGGTTCTGTAAATTGTAATAATACCATTCATTTATAAATTAAATCTACAATATTATTATTGCTTAAAAACCAAATAAATTAGACATGTGATAAACTTAAACGGAGCGAAAAACGGGAGATGAATTTTCAAAACGTCAAGTCATGACAACAGATGAAACAATACCCAATACCATAAGGCATAAGCTATGCCAATTCTTATCATTTGTGAAAAACTTTTAAATTTCGAAAGTAGTATACATAGACATATGCAAACGAAATATTCTCAACTACCAGTGTGCTAAGGTAATTCTGTATTTGGTTAAATATAGGTGTTCAAGATCTTTCGCAACATCAGGTCGCAATGAAAATTAAATTTGATGGTAAACTACCCGAGAATATCGCCATTTCAGTTTGCAATACACGGGAGTGTAAATTAAATGCTGTTGTACTCTCAATTTCATACCTGTCATTGAAATGAAATTTACTGCAGTCAATATTTTTTAAGTTCCCAGAACTCAAAATATATGCAAAGACGTGTATATAAGTATACCCAATATTTGTAGGACGCAAATGCTAGCGATTTATTAATTTGAAAAATACATTACGAGAAATTTAATAAGTATCAAGTGTTATTTATTTTATAAGAATTTGGACGCCTAATTACAGAATGATCGCCACTATGTACCGCTCGAAGTACAAAGCGCGACATCCCAGCTTACCCGGGATTTTAGTATTTCTGAAATTAATCAGTGCTTTACATCATAATTTAAAAAATTTGTTATAATGTTAAGGCTTGTAGATAAAACTTCGTTTCTCACACAAAGAGGTTTGATTTGCGACTTCTAACCATTGTCATTAGAGTCTAATACTGTAATAAAGAAATCATAAAGTTGACGAATTATTTGAAGCGAGCGAGAAAGGTCCGCGAACAGCGAGATTTTTCTGATGGTTCTGGTATTTAAAATTCTCACTCAAATCATATCTCGTCTGTTTCGTCCAAAAGTGCATATATATTATATAAAGTTTATTTATATTTAGAGTAATGTCAAATTAATTGAACGACCTACGCTACAACTTCAGTATAATGCATAAAGATATAAAACACAACCTACTTGGTAAGAGCCTTCTGAGTAAACTATACCTGACTAATTTATATGCCACAAATGACCTACATTTCTTATACAGTGATCTCACGTTTTGTGTGTGACACAATGAATGAAATTGTGGGACTACACAACGCGGTCGAGAACATCGAATTCCTTTGTTGCAACCCCGGGGAAAACCCTTGCTTGGGATTCGCGTATCGATATCGAGGGGGTACAAACAAAAGAGAAACAATAAAAAAATACCTGGACGCGGAAACACGCCCACCGTTCGCAAGTACGACATTCAGCTATGCCGTGACTCTTTTAAATATATTGTGACAGAAGAATGCGTCATAGTATTTACGCCATTTGCGACCTGTTCGTTACACTGCTTAGTTTAAAATTTTATCGGAAAGTAAATACATCCCGGTGAATTGCAAAGTTATTATGATTGTCAGCGTTATACGCTTCAGTCCTAATAATTTATTCAGTTATATTGAATCAAATGTATTTTGTAACTGTGGCCAACTATGGAACAGTGATAAACTGCCACAAATTTCGCAACGTTATTGGCCGCCCTCCATACTGTAATGTAGAACAGGGGTGCACAACACGAGGCACGCACGTCCAATGTGGCACGCCATAACCTCGAACGGTTTGATAAAAATTGTAGCTATAATAAATTCTGATAGCTAACTCGCTTTTTATCAAAATGAACCAAATCACCATGTTTATTCACTCAATTGTGTTGGGACCTTCGTGAAAACACAAATGAATTTGTTCAAAGACCCCCAAGTGCGGATGCTTATTTTTTCAGATAGTTCAAATAGAAAAACGGTATTGACCTGTGATTGCAACTTGCATTTGACGTACTTATCGGGATATCTCCCTCTTTCTGAGGTCAATATGACGCACAGTATTTGTGTTACTAAATGTCCGTTTATCGTAACGTTGCACGGGCAGCACGACCGAACTAAATGATTTCAAGTAGCAGATGATTAAATACGCCTAATCTCAAAAGAAGTATATGGATTGAGTGCCAAATATTAACTACACCAAAAGTGACATAACAAACACAAATCTGTAATGCGAGCGCGATACGTATTCAGATTTAATCAACCTTCCCCGAAGAGCTTGGTAAGTAACCATACGAGGGTCGAGGAAATGAATTGAGCAACGACTTCGCTTCATTGCATTTAGCACATGCTGTTAGATTTCATTGGTTAAAAGGTGTTGAATTCCACAGTAACGATCAACCGTCAACCTATGCTGTGCGTACTTTCTACAATACTGCGTATTTTATTGTTGTGATTGTTAGGAGGAAATTCGCTCAAAGAAAGGTCACGCGCATTCAGACATTAGCGAGATCGACACCAGCGAAGTTACGTATACAACCACAAAAATGTCAAGACTATGCGGAGTCATAGTGTATTATTTTGCGTTAATAAATAACTATGTGAAACTTAAAAGCGGTTCGTGTCAATACAATCACGAAAGCAGAGGTGTCGAATTGCATTTCACTGAAGTTCTTTGAAAAAAACTTTTGAACATAGATGTTAATCGTCTCTTAGGGTAGGTGTGTCGAATTGCATTTCACTGAAGTTCTTTGAAAAAAACTTTTGAACATAGATGTTAATCGTCTCTCGGGGTAGGTACATTGACCGTAAACAGGGTGAGTGTTCACAGTCAATCAAGTTTGACGACTGAAAACTATTTTGAAAGGACAACTTCTGAATGTTCAGAAAACACAGTTTCTTATATTATCGATAAAACAAGCACATCGACGCACCATCTCGTCATAAACAATTCGGCCATGCGTCTGAAGAAAACATGAATAAATTGCTTGGAAACGCAAATATTATGAATGACAAATTATCTGGTATTGTGAAGGAGTAGTGAAAAAATGTGAAAATCGTTCTGTGCTTAAAAAATCTCCACCACGTCCTGCTGTAGGTTTACCAAGAGCATCACTATTTAATGAATCTGTAGCAATTGATTTGCATCAATTAGAATCTAACCTTTGGTACATGCACATGGTCGATGAAATCACCGGATTTAGCAATGCTCTTATTGTGAAGTATAAATCTTCATCCATAAGTGCAAACAAGTTTATGTATCATTGAATAAGTATTTTTGGATCTCCACGAAAGGTGTTTACTGATAAGGGAAGAGAATTCAATAATCATGAGTTTTTGGACATAACCAAGTTTGACAAATATGCTTCACAAGATTAGGAATGATGTGCGTACTGATTGGGGAATCTCCATTGCATGGGCTGTAAGTGCAAAAAATTCCTCGATAAATAATAATGAATTCAATCCGGCTCAACTTGTTTTTGGTCAGAACATCAATCTTCCATCAGTTTTAGTGGATGAACTACCTGCATTGTAAGGAAAGACTGGAAGCTTGGAAGTTGGTCAACATATATCAGCTCTTCGTGCTGCAAGACGAGCATTTATTGCCTGCGAGTCTTCTGATAGACTTCAGAGAACACTTCGAAAACAAACCAGACAATCGTCTTTTAATTTCACAACAGGAGATCGAGTTTATTACAAAAGACCAGATAGTCATAAATGGCGTGGACCAGGAAAAGTTATTGGACAAGACGGTGTGATAGTTTTTGTTAGGCATGGTGGACAAGTGATCAGAGTCTACACATGTCGATTGCAGTTGATGACTTCAAATCATGGTGGAAATTCTCTCATGCAATTGAAGCCGGAAGATGCGATATGAAAAATCTGAGGAGAATATATCTGATATTGAGGAGTTTGAAACTGATCCTGAAACTATGAATGATGATTCTCCTGACCATAGACCTGATTTACCCGATTCGGAACAACAAATTCGCACAAACGAGAATAATCAATCACATGTCAGAAGTGAATCTAGAAGTTCAAAGAAATCACAAATTGTCAAATTCAAACAAAATGATGGCACTGTCTACAGCGCTAAAATTCTAGGAAGAGCAGGAAAAGCGACTGGCCGATTTTAAAATTGGTATAACATACAATATGAATCACCACAATCCTTAAAAAAGCTCAACAAAAATCTATCGACCTCGATGCTGTCGATATTCTTAATGAAAGCGATCCCATTCTAGAATCTGAACAAACAACAACAGCTACTCTATCTGGTCAAACGGTTGATTGTGACGTTTTTGTTGCAGATTCGGTGGATTTTTCTCTTGCGAAAAATCGAGAACTCCAAAGCTGGATACAACATGCTGTATATGAAGAATGTCTAAATAATAATCAGAAGTGTGTTTTTGTAAGATGGGTTTGCACAATGAAACAAAATGGTGATAAAATGTTCCCAAAGGTTAGACTTGTTGCTTGTGGTTTTGAAGAGAGTAATTTAGAAAATATCGAAAAAGAATCACCAACATGCTGTAAAGACTCAATGCGAACTGTCATAGTTATTGTACAGCAAAAACAATAGCAGTTGAAATGTATTGACATTAAAACCGCATTTCTATAAGGGGAGGAGCTTAAGCGAAAGGTTTATCTTATGCCACCCAAAAAAGCAAATTGTAAAGTGGAAATTATCTAGAAAATGTGTATATGGAATGACCGATGCTTAACTGAAACGGTACGACAGAGTTCGAAATTTTATGTTGGAAAATGGATGCAAGACTACTATTGCAGATCCTGCAGTTTTTCATTGGCATTTTCACTGTACACGTTGATGACTTTACATTTGAAGAAGATTATCACGAAATTACGAGAAACATTTAAAGTGGGA